ACATCATATCTTACTCACCTCTAACACTACCCGTAATCCCACTACTGCAGTTGCAGTGTTCGGTTCCATCACAAAAGAAGCCTGAATGAGGGGGGGTGGGATAATTTGTTTGTTCTTGGACTCAAACATTGCCACCCAGTAAAGGTTGGGGGCGGCACTGTCTCCATGACTACTGGGCTTCAGCCCACCAAGTTGCTGATGTCTTGGCATTGTGAATGACACTGTAGCTCGAATTCCAAATGAAGGTGATTTCCTGATTCTCCATCACATCAAGAGCAGCAGCTATCTTCTTCTTCATTGCTTTCTGCAGACAAAGGTTGGAACTTGGAGAGGGTTAACAAGGGAATAGCTGACATTCATGTAGGGCAATGTAGGTGATGTCTGATGTTGACTGATTTCTGATCTGAATCCTACTCATTTTATATACATACATAGGGCGCAAAGAATCATGGTGATACACAAATGGATAGTTTTGCCACTGATGGAATACCATTCCATTCAATGTGGACACCTTGAATGTATGTTTGGACATGTGGCTGACACTCTCCAATTGAGGGAATGTTCTTGGGCACAAGGGGTAGCTTCCATTGTTCCTGTTGAGTTATGAATGGGAGATCTGCTAGTAGTTCAGAGAAAGAGAGGGCCACATCTCTCTGCCACTGTCAGTTTCACCAACATGTGAAGGAGTTTGTGGGGTTGCAGAGGGGAAACCCAGAGAGGAATCTGTAGGGAACCTCAGTAGTCTGTCAAGCTACTTATATTGAGTATAGTACCTGTAGGGAACTATACAAATTAGTAAGGATATTCTATCTATGTAGAAGTGTACTCACCCTCAGTAGTCTGTCAAGCTACTGAGGGACTAGGTAAATTTTACTAGTGTATGGGTGCGCTCTAACAGCTTATGTAAGCAACACGATCACGTGCCTAAGTCCAAGTAAGGACAGGGGTCGTTTCACTCCAACAACATGTAATGTCAATGAACTGACGGGTGAAACATAGTTCAAAACAGGTGCCACCTACCAAGTCAGATCAAATCAGACATGTCATTTGGTAACTGAATCTAGCTGGTAAAGGGCGGGTAATCACTTAGCCAAAAAGTTCAGTGCGAGTAAGAAATGAGCCAATATTCCCCTTGGAAGGTGCTTTCCTTGCAAGGGTGGGTATCTTCCAAACCGATTAATCACATTCTGCAGATGATCGGATATCTCAAGTACCGATGGCGGTGCACACCATAATGGTAGCAGGCGAGAAAGTACAGAGTATGCTTTGCCTCGGGGCATTGCCAGCGCAATTTTTGCAACTAGTACAGTGCAAGCAAGCTTGCTATGGGGGCAGGCTACTGCTTGACCTTCTCAATAGAAGATGAAGACGAAGTGGAACCTATCTTAAGATGTCACATTCCCAGATACATAACTGGGGCGAGTGACGAATGTGGTTTGCTCGGGTCGAAGAGTCACATGCTATTAAGTGGGTGAATTCCATATGCTCCATATGAGCACACTCGGGGCCCTGAGATAAACCCCAATATATGTACCCTGAAGGCACGAATTATACTGTTAAAGTATCATTGTCTGATGTAGACTGTGGGGGTGCTGCCGAAACGGACACTAGCTCCTACTCAATGTGATGCCAATTCCAGACTTCAGATTTGTTTGCAATTCCATCCTTCAATCCCGCAGACATGAAGTCGTCCCTAGTAGTTCTTCCCCGAATCATTACATGCCGATCAGTGGCCTCGATGAGCAGACATTTGAGAGTACAGTTGACTTGCTCATAATGCAAGAGGTTGTAATGTATAATTCTCATATTGTATTGACTTTTCGTCAGTCCCATTGTGGGCAGCAGGGAATTTGGATAATTTTGGATAATGTATACTGTATTGGAACAGTGTGAGAAATATACATTATGATATATCCAATTTGGCAGGATGGGACAGCTCATTGTCCGACAACACATTGTCCTGCAATCAGATACTTAATGAATGCAATCTGAGGTTAAGGTTACAGTAATTACCAACATCAATGATGCCTTCTGAGAAGTGCAAACCAAGAGCCCGCAATCCCCACCAGGACAACCAACCTGCAAAGAAGCCAAGAAAGGCACTGGATGCTGCTCTGAGCCCTGCTACTTCTGCTCAGCTGGCACAGTCCACCACACGGTCAAACCTCACTCTCAGTGACTGGATGATTGTCTTTGCTTATGTTGATGCTCACCCAGCTCTTCCACAAAAGCAAGTTGTTGAGCACTTTCAAACCCTGAAGTCAGGGGCTCTCATCTTCACACAAGCTACTCTATCACATAAACTCCATGGCTGACAGACATTAGAAGCTCGTATTAACCACAATCCTAATGCACTGTCTTCAAAGCGCCCTCGTATTGTAACCAGACCAGATGTAGAGCGAGCCCTCATTCTTTGGGTTTACCATATGGAGAACAGGAGTGAGACAGTGTCAGGGCCCATGCTTCAAGAAAAGTGAGCCAAGTTTGAAAAGGAGTTCAATGTACCAGAGAACGAGAGGCTGCTTGGAGAAGGATGGATTCCATCTTTTTGCAAGGCATACAATCTTCGAGAGTGCAGGAGGCATGGTGAGGCTGGCTCAGTTGACTTAGAAGCAGTTGAAGCAGAACAGGCTCGATTTCGCCCAATATTGGCTAAGTTTGCACCAAGAGATCGCTTTAACTTCGACGAGACTGGTTTCTTCCCCTAGTAAGTCATACTCAATTATTGCTGACCAATTGCTGATTTGAAGCTACTGTCAGTGCTCCACCTGATCGAGGTCTTGCCATGAAGCAGATGAGTGGCAAAAAGAAGGAAAAATTCCACCTCACAATCAGCCTTGCTTGTATGATGCTGCATCTGTAACATTAAACAAACAAAAATAAAACAGCTGATTGCACAACTTTTGCAGTAATGCGCAGAAAATTTGCAGGTGGCTGTGCCCACAGCTACTGACTAAGCAGGGCATGTGCATGGGGGAGCAAGTGAGTCAGGGCTACATGCACTCCTCACCCGTTCCTTGGGACTCGTTTCGATGCTACTGTACATAACCCATGTAATAATGGGTATTTTGCCAAGAAACAGGCCCAAATTTGCTAGGCCAGTGATGACTTGTGGCGTGGAGTGCGGTCACATGAATTTGCAGGTGGCGATGCCATGGGAATTTGCCGAAGGAGCAATCCCGCCACCAGGCAGGAGGGGCAGGGAGGGGGTCGAGCGTTCGAGTGGGCCCTGTGGGGCATCACAGCCTCATGGATTGGGTGGGATGACTGGGGAGGGTGCCGACGAACTGTGTTCACATCCTGCCTACGTTTATCTATTTTATCTGCCCTCCTAGCTAGTGCAAAGTGGTACAAGGTGGCTGTGTTAAAAATTATGCAGGGGTAGTATAAAAAGTTGCGCAGGAGCAGTGCTGCAAAAGTCACACAATCAGCTGTTTTATTTTTGTTTGTTTAATGTTACAGATGCAGCGTCATAATATGCTTGCAATGCTGATGGTAGTGAAAAGTTAGAGCCATTCTTTATTGGGAAATTTGGAAAGCCCTGCTGCTTCAAGAACCTGACCCCCAAGCAACAGGGATTTTATTATTGGTTCAACAAGAAAGCTTGGATGATGGCTGCATTATTTGAGGAGTAAGTCCCTTACCTTATCATTCAAAAATTGAAATATATTAAACTCCTATTTATTCATTAAGGTGGGTAAAGAAATTCGACCTCAGAATGAAATGGCAAAACCGTTATGTTTTGTTATCAATTGACAACTTCCCTGGCCATAAAATCAATTACGAGCCAACAAACATCAAGATTGAGTTTTTCAAACCAAATTTAACCTCGTTTGTACAACCTTGTGATGCCAGAATTATTCGTTGCTTCAAAGCTATTTACCGCTGCAATTTTTGTGCCCGTGCTGTTGAACTTGATGAAGCAGGCACACAAGAAATTTTCAAGATCGATCTCCTTGAAGCAATGCTAATGGCAAAGTCTGCATGGAATGCTGTCTCACAAGACACTATCAAGCACTGTTGGGACCACACAGAAATTCAGCCATGAGTTCATTGTTACCTGCAAACAAGATCTGCAAAGTTGCTGACTCTCGCACCAATGCTAGAGAAAGCCCAAATATGCAGGCCACATCAAGTTCACATCCAGCTCATGCTGATTCCACTGGGTGGCAAATTATTCATGAATTTGTGACAACAGAAATGAACTTGCCCGAAGCAGAAGCTCATTTGGAAGCTTGCCTTGGGAATTCCTATGTTGACACAGATTGGTGTCCAGCTCTCACAGCGGTTATGGATGCTGAAGGAGATGTTGCTATAGCTGTGAAGGCCATTGAACCACTTGCTGATGCTGCTGCTTGTCACACAGGCCTCAAAATTTGCATCCCTGCACTCACAAAACCACCCCCTGGCCAGTTATCTAATGCCGAGACAACTCTAATGACATCTGTCAGGCATCTCCAGCAATGGAATCGTGTATTTGAGCCGTCCACACTGGAGGAGCTGGTGGACCCTGCTGAAGAACGAAGAGACAAGCAGTACTGGCACTGGTGACTTAACTGATAAGGCAATTGCAGATTCTGTTCGTCAGGAACTGGCTGCTGCGAAGTGGGGACATGATCGAGGTGGATTCAGACAGTGAAGAGGAGGAAGATTCAGGCCCCACCATGACTTGCGAGAGCGTTCTGGTGCTCTGTGAAGAGCTCGAGAGTGTATGTATGGTATTTGGGGATGCTGGATCGTCACTTGACTTATCAAGGCAACTTCGCATATTCCGAATCACACCTTCAGGTGGGAAACATTTCTTCATGCTAAGCAAACCTCCCTTGATACATACAATTTCACTGGATGAAATTGTTGCTCGTACTGTAACCTACTCTCAGTGTATGGGTCACGAAATTGAACCGTCACATAAGTCACACTATGGGTGACTTTTCATATTGTATTTTGCTGATACTGTATCAGGCTTGATGTGGTCCCGTCGGTATACATTATGAGCGAATCAACTGTATTCTTACCCGCCTGTGATGTCTGACGGGACCCCGTTATCCCCATCGCGGAGCAACCGGGCTCTGTCGTGAATTTGTGCGAGGTGTTTCTACTTACGAGCGTGCAATGGTTCCTGCACCCAATGTAAGATTATGACAAACGCGCAATGACGCACTGTCATGCTGAGACACAGGCGACGATCACATAAGCGTTGGGAATGGTCGTGGCCTCTCGACTTGCCAACGCCCACAGATGTTATCGCTTATACACTGGCCGCCGGGATCCTGCCCGATCTTTTCTATCGCTGGGGAAGATCTGTAGGGTGACACTTGTTGGGCCGAGTTTGTTTCTGTAGGTAACCTCCAAACTATAATATAACTTTTGATTACCCTCTCCCCCCAAAGCCCAGCTAGTTCCGTGAAGCGTTCCTGCGACCGGGCTAGTCGCGGGATCATTCGTACGGTACTTCTATCCTCAAGTTTAACCACCACTATGGGTCCAGTCGTACAGGCAGAAGATGGATCCTTTCCCCCCGATTTCCCCCTAGCTGTATGCCTCAATGGCGCAACAAATCCAGAGACATTCCACGTCATCCGATCCTTCACTCCATTCACTAAAGCCCAAGTATACCTCGTCAGACCAGATCCCAACACTGATCTGCCACTCCAAGTTATTCTAAAAGTGTATGACCCTCGATTCCTCGATGATCGCTATCCGAAGTCCTCCCGTTTACCCAGCCGACCGTGGACGCTCCGGGCGGAGTCCGTCGCGGCTATGAAGAGGAAGCGGATTGAATTGGGCGAGATCGATGATGATTTCCACGTTGACCTGTTGTATGGCGACGAAGAGGCTGATCCTTCTCTCTGGGAGGAACACTTCTTCCGCTTGATGAAGGAATGCTTCGAGTCCGAACTTGAAGCATACAAGCGTCTAGATGACATACAAGGTCGCAGCATCCCGAAGTTCTTCGGAGCAGGAAGACTAATACCAAACCCTCTGGACTCACGCGCTATCGAGCCACTAGCGGTACTCATTGAATACATTCCTGGCGTGTCGCTGTGCAACATCGACCCTGTACTGGTTCGCCCAGATCTTTATGAGCCGCTGATTGCGGCAGTCGCTACCTTCTCGAAGCATGGGGTCTTCCACGACGACGTTAACCAGAACAATATCTTGTTCAGCCCAGCAGAAGCACCGAAGAGGGCGGTGCTAATTGATTTTGGATGTGCTGCTGTGAGGGACGCCGAGCAACCAGACGAGGAGTGGGATGAAGCCGTGCGATTTGCTAATGACGTTGGGAGGTTGAGGTTGTCGTTGGAGAAGAAGCTGGGGATCAAACTAGATGTCGATCAGGCCAGCGCCGTGCCTGACGCGTAGGCAATTTATGTCTACCACCACGATCGGTAAGCCCCTTTTCGGTCAACAAGTATTAGTGTCGGAAGTGGACTCTCTTGGCTACCATGTCACGGATGAGGACAGATTGATGTATTATAGGTACTGTACAGGAAAGCAATAAGTAGACGACATGAGAGGACGGGGTGAATCGATCTAAGGAAGAGCAATGTACAGGTTGCGTCTTGCTCTCAAGGCTCTAGCATATTACGTGTTCCAGTCCGCAAGTTCAAGACAACAACTCGGGGTATCTGTCATTCCTCATCTCATTATCTTCTGCTTCATAAAAACTCAAGATAAACCGATCCTTCACTTCGACTTCACCTTACAGCTTCCTTTCCACCTAATAGTAGGACCAGGGCCACCCTGGTATGTTCGGCAGTCTCCACTGGCCATCCTCACTCTTCCAGGGCCAGCACCACCCGAAAGGACCACACTCGTCGTCACCTGGAACAGGCTTTGGCTTTGGCGTGGGCTCAGGAGACGGCTCCTTCGACTTTCGGCAATGCTGGGGTACTTTGATGCCCTGTAAATGATCCAGAATGTCAACACAACCTCGACTATCATGTGAGAAAGACAGAAAACTCACATCAGACCTCACACCACCACCCCATGGTGTTTGTCCAACCACCTTCGCATCCACGCCCAACCCCCTTTCTGCAAAGCCTTCCCAAATCCGGCACTCGTTCTCACCATCTGTCAAAATCTTATCTGCTTCCAGAATCGCCTTGCGAGCGTCGAAGAACGTAGGCGAACACGGCTGCAACTTCATACCCTCAATCACGAGCTGGAGGAAAAGCGTGTTGCCGTGCTTGGGAATTAAAGGTTTCGGGTTTCCGCGTGCATCGAATGTCTGGGAACGGTAGAAGTCGTTCGGGGGCATGCTACCATCTTCGTTAGGAACGGGCGGCAGGAGCGAGGTTGCAAAACCGTATTTCTCGATAAACTTCTGCGAGACGACCCATAACATTTCGGCCCAGACCTCGCCAATGGCATGTACACCCCAGTATCCTGGCTTGTCGAGGGTGGCGTAGGACGAAGGATTAATTTCGGACGTCATAGAATAAGGGAAGTTGCGAATGCCCTTCGCACGGTTCGATGCCCATGCGCCCATAGGATAGTCGGAATAGTTAGATGTCGAGCGGATGGTTGTAGCAATGAAATCTACCAAGAGATCACTTCAGGACTGCGGGTAATGACAATCTGCGGGATCACGTACCACCCCAACCTTCTCCCATTCCTCCAGACTCGCCCCAACCAAGGCAGCCAGAGTTCAGTGGGCCACCCGTCAAGCGAGTTGATAGACCATGGGTAAGCTCGTGGATCACGATGCCAGCTTCCATATCACCGTCACGGTATGGCGAAGCTGTGTTCCAGAGATACATCCGACAGCGCCTACGATTCTCGACCTTGAACAGAACGAAAAATGACAACATGGACAACCTTACCCGTTTTGACCATCCGGAGGTGTCATGAAGTTGGCGTTGTTGAATCCACTTCCATCCTGTGCATTGGCAATGACAGCGTCGTTATCGAGACCTCCTCGTTCAAAGTTGTATTGCTGGAAGTTACCCGCTTCCTCGGTGAATCCGTACCTGTAGTACAAATCATGGACCATGTTGCTAGTGTAGAAAAGCTGCGTGACAGTAGCGTCGATGTAGGACTTTGCCTGCTGCATTTCGGCATCCTCATCATGCAGAGGAACCGGCTCGTAGGGGAACAAATACAGCAAAGAATCTGTAATCCAGTTAATCTTAGAGATATCAATGTCGACAGAAGGTACAAACCATCTTCGTTCAAGAGGTATCCTTCGGGTCTGTGGTTATAAACCCACCCGTATCGACCCTCCCAGTTCTCGTGAGCGAACACGTTATTACCCCACGTCGTATTTGTCCTCCGCCAGAACTCTGCGGATGAAGTGAGCATATCGAGATGCCACGAACAAGAGATGTCATTACCTCCTTGAGCCTTGGCGCGTCTCAAACCGTCATCATCGGTACCCGGGTCGTTTGCGTATGGCAAGGCGTGCCAGCCAGCAGGAGAAGCGAGGGTGTCGCCCAACTCGGGCACTGCGAAGCGACCATACGAAACGGTGTGTGCTATTCACGTATCCTCCGATCAGCCAGAGCCAGAAATGGCAAACCAAAAAAAATGAAGGACTCACTGGAACCTTGGGTACCTTCAGCCCTCTCCCGCCGCACAGCCGCTTCCTCTGGGTCATTAGTACCCCAGGGGAAGACAACGTACATAGCGGGTTCGCTCTTTGGCGGGTCAGGGTATTTCTTGGGAATAGGAGCGAACGCTAGATGGAGAGATTAGTGTTTGGAAGTCGCACCATTACTATCCGTGTAGAAACATACTCGAAGCACTTCCGCTCTTGCTCTTTCCCTTCCTGAGGTCAGCTACTGCCTTTCCGAGACGAGGTTTAGACTTCGATACCGATCCAACGGAGGGGAAGTAAGTTCCTGGCGGAACAAAAGCATCCAATGGTGGTAGCTGTTCTTTGCCTAAAAAGAGAAATGGCCGGATCAAAGATTGGTCACACGACTGCCAAATATGGAGGGCACGTAAAAGGAATACGTACTCATCGGAGGCATTGGCGAGTCACTGGCCCAGTCCACCACGCTGATGACCCGGTGTGGAAGTTCAGCGGTGACGGTTGCCTCGTACCAGTTATCTTGCATCTCGACTTCAAACTGTAAGGGTGCTATTCGTCAGCAGTGAAATGGGGAAATGCTCAAAATGGTACCCACTCTGTGCACCAACTCCAATTTGACGGACCCGTCTTCTCGGGGTACCTGTACCCAAGTCACGCGGGTCTTGACATCTCCGACTGTTCCCGGAACATCGGAAAGCACCATACCAACGCTAGCGTGGTCACCGAGGAGATGGGTCTCGGGTGTCATCTTGATATCCTGAACATATTGATCTGGGTTCTCAAGCACACCTTCGAATTCTGGGTGTGATCTGGGGAGCGCTGCAGCCATGAATTCCAACAAGGCACGGCGTGGGTCCATGTCAACTTGTGGGGGTGGGTGGGTACCCGTGTAGGATGTCGGTGGCAGTGACATTACAGCACAGTTAGAGTCATAGAGGTGGGTCAGGGTGGCGACGCCCTCGAGTGTCTTGTGGTAGTCATCCGAGAGGGCAGCCTCCTCGGTGTCAACTTCGACCAGGAGAGCTTGGTGGGTCAACAGGGCATCTCGTAGCTGAGAGCAGTAGACAGCGTGGGGGTGCACAGGCTCGTTATCGACCGCGAGAGCAGGTGCGCCACCAGGGAAGAACTGTTGAGTATGAGTCAGATTACTTATAATACAGAGTAAGAAACAAGACCGACCGAATCACCAAAGCTGAGGATGCGGCCGTCCTTGATGTTGAGGTTGATATGGGCATCTGCGACCTCGATACCCCCAATGATTTGGCGGGCATAGACATGAGTCACACCGGTGTTACGGTCAGTATACGAGTCCGAACGGATGGCATAGGCACGACCGAGTGCAGATTCGGCGAACTGTTCCAAAAAGTCGCGCGCGACGTGGAATGGATCGACGGGAGCGAAACCCGAGGCAGAGGGGGGGAGGGTCTCGAAGCGGGCATGTGGCAGGACAGGACCGAAGCCGAGGGTCTTTCTCCGCTGAGGCTGAGCGAGTGGCGGTGGGGTCGAGCGAGCAATGGCGTGTGCAGCGAGGCCGGCGAGGGCCAGGGTGACCGTCGTAAGACCTCTCATGATTGGGGGAAGAGGACAAGACAGCCACGCACTGGGAACACCGGGTTTTTATGAGGGGAGGGCTACGTAACCACACTCGTCCCAATTAGGAAACATCAACTGTCCCGATATCAACACAGCCACAACAACATTGCTCCCCCAAATTACCCAAATTTCTACTTCTGTCGAGTCTGTTAATCCAATATCATGTGACAATGTACGAGACCAGTCTCGTCCACTGTATTGTGCGACGTTAGCAGCGTGAAACAGTCCCTCAAGACCGACTCGACAGGGCTGCATGGCACCCACTATCTCCGCTTCGTTATCAACACGCCTAAGCACGCCACGCAAGCTGTGAGGATCGGGTCGTCATCCCGCCTTATCTTGACTGGTCCGTGGAGATTCCCGTGTTTCAACACATTTGTTTGGTCTCCTGAAAATGTCACCGCCGCGATGACAGCAAAAACACGTCAACAACTACCACAGCAGCGGCCTCAACCCCATCCATGATCCCACTTCGCACCATGCTACCCCACTCGAACGTGATATGTATGGATCCTGTCGTGCGACCAGATAATGAATTCTGATTACGTTATTCACTCCTTATCGCCCGAATCGTATCCTCCGCGCGGAGAAGAGGATATTTGGACATACAGCACCGCAGCCAACCGTCTCCCTTGTGGTGCTTCAACGACCGGATCTGTTCCGTATGTCCCATGAAGCAGCTGGAGGACTGCAGGGGACCGGAAGACTCTTCCGCGGGCGTCCGTTGATTCGGTGCCATCATCATGTTTTCCTTGTCTGGCTACCTCCGGTGACTTTCAACGGGACCTGTACTTTGTACCCCCATCCACGACGACGCCGCATGGTATCAAGAAACCTTAAGGCCTCCTAACTTTGTTGTTGGCAAACAACCACCGCCGCGTGACCGCCTCTCCCCAACAACCCATCTCTGCGTTTTCAGCAGGTATGCCCGCGGTTACGTATCACAGACTTTCCGACATCACTACCATCTTCGTCACCCTTCGCCTGCCCATCGTGGTTGATTGCGCTAATTTCCGGGATGTGGCTGAAGAACCACGCAGATATCATGGCTGAGCTCCGTCAGTATTAGCCAATCCTGGTACTTTGTCGGTAGTGGCGGCGTAAAGTACGGCGCTTCTTGACCTCAAAAAGCGATACTCCACGATGTGATGCTTCGCGGTTCGAACGTTCAGTTGCGTGAATTGGACAAGGGTCCTCGCTTTTCCCTCGTGCACACCCCCACATGTGCTTATCGCGTTCACACAATGTCCGTGGAAGTACACGGGCTTCTGCTATAAATCCTATTGATTGATGTGCATCGCGTATCTATGCCGCGCTGTATTCTAGTGGGGCTGACGTCACTCATGGCCCGATCATTTGTAAGTACTTATCATCGTCCGTCTAACCCGTCTGGTTCGGACACCGAACGGATCGCCCCGGTACGTCCTATCATATTGCGACATGTTATCAAATCTTCTCACATACTTATGACATACATTGAATAGGGTGGAGGTGCGGATAGATGGTCCGGGCTGCTCAGCTTCGTCCTTCGTATCCCACAGATCTCCCAATGCACCCTATCGCGAGTGCCTGCTGAACGTGCCCACACGAGCTATCGCTCACGCGAGGACTTACAGCGATTAAAGAACGAGAACGTCTCCTTATAAAAGACACCATCTCCCTTCGATCTTCTTGGACTGCGGCGTTGGACACCCCACAAGTTAGTCCCTTAGGCTTCATACCTCAACCGCTCTTACTCGAAGCACTCCGATTATGTGTCCCAACTACCTGCGATGTACTGTGCGTGCGATAACCAACATCATCGATCTTTTTTCCATTCTAGTAGGGTGAATGGTTTCCTGAGCGCCAAAATTCTGGACGATGACTCAGACAGAATTACTTCGGACACCCCCACTTTTGAGGCGAGGGCTCCCTTTTGATGGATGCGCGTGCTTCGATAAAAGGCAGTGACTCAGTAAGCGAGTGCTTGCACTGCGACAGCACTCAAAAAGCGTTAGAACGACCGCGTGACCGGCTGTCTGGGATGCGAACCTAAGAAACAGTTGGGCGCTCGGAAGTATATGTTACTAGTGAACGATTGATCCATATATGACCCAGGTACTGTATAAAAAGAGACTCCTGCACCTACGGTGTACGGTGCGGAGTAGCGGCCACATGATCGCCATCACTATGGTGATCGGTGACTCTATGGCAGAGTGTGTCTGGATTTTCATTCGTGCGATTGTTTGGGTACCACTCACCATCGTCCACAGCCTTGAATTCTATACCTACTTAATCCGTCGGCGTCATGCACCATTCGTTCAATGATGGGCGCGCTTTCTTAGCATGCATACCGTACACGCACCAAGGCGTAGCCGCGCCCGAGCCCAAATAGAAACTCGCGAACCATGCCGGAACGGACGTGCTGTCCAAGCCCGCTTGGTTCGCGAGCTTTTTTTTTTTTTGGTGAACCCCTGTACGACAGCACTCGACGCCGTGAATGTCCCTCAGTACCATTTCATTGATTCATCGTTCCAGTCCAAGATCATGTCGGGGCATCGTTTCCGTATCGAGAGTACGATGGGAGTAGGTGGAGGCAATATAATCTCTGCAGAGTCTCAAAGGAAGTAAGTCCCCCTCTCGTCTTCGCTTCCAACCGTTCATTGCTGGTATCTTCCGTTACTGATGATCCACGAATGTTCACTCGTCAATAATATAGTCTTGAGATTGCAGAGACCCTCTGCAACAGACGCAAGCCCGAGCAGGCGCTGCAATACCTCTTCAGGGCGATGGAAGACGAAAACACCCTGGACACATTCATCCAGTTTGCGTTCCTCCACCACCTCCCAGAGGCTGTCAAGGTCCTCGAAGACGCTAAACGAAAAGGTAGGTAGTCGAGAACGTTCCGTCTTCGTTCCTTTGATCTTTAGTACTTATGTATGCGAACGCACGCTATGCTATGAAACAGGTCGTGCAAGCCTGAAACGCTGCCTCGGAAATGACTGCTTCGACGATGACAGCGAGTATGTCGGTCACTTTTATGAGGTGCTTACGACGCGGCCGTATATGCGCGTACTGCAAGCTCAAGTCCGGCTCTACTTTGAGAACGGGCAGTACGCAGAATCAGCGTGAGTCGCGCTATTATGTATATCTCTATGCGCGCACGCTCGCCAGACCAACTGACCCTTCTTCGTATGCCAACATCATTATAAATAGAAAGACAATCACCGAGATGCTGCGTCTCTGCCCAGGTGATAACTTGGGCCAGCGCGCCTGGCTTGGCTCCATGCTGCTGCTTACCAAGCACTACTCCGATGCACTGTCTTTCTGCCAGAGGTGGCCCGACCATGACAGACTGACTGTCATCCCGCGTGGGGGAGCAGCATTCAAAACCCCTTCATCCACGTGCTACGATGTAGAGGTGGAGAACAAAATCTTGAGATGTGGGAACGGGGCGATGGCATATAATGCGGCTGTTGCAGCGTTCAGGGTATTTGGCGATGGCGAGTTCGCAAGACAGTACCTCCGGATTGCGGCCAAGATTAACCCGATCATACTCACCAAGATCCTTGCAAAAGAAGTACGTTTCCGTGACGTTTGCCGCTCGGAGCTATTGTTTTACTGATCCAAAACAAAGGGCTTTGACAACCTACCCGGGACACATAACGGACCGGAGGATGCACGGGATTACTTGTTCGTGACGCAAGATGTGTGGATTAAGGACGACGCATGGGAGTGGGCCAACGCCTCACAGGAAGCGGAGAGCAACGTAATCAAGGTGTGCGGCAACAGCGCCTGTGGGGCCGTGGAGACCCAGGTTGCGCAGTTTAAGCGGTGCGCTGCATGCAAGAAGGTATCGTACACAGCCATAATTACCCCTGCTGCGCCAGCCGGCGTTGTAAGCACGATGCGCTGATTTGAACCCCGTTTGCGTAGGTCGTGTATTGTAGCCAACCTTGCCAACGGAGTGACTGGTCGAAGCACAAACCACGTGAGCTCCCTCTTATCGCACTCGTTTTGGCCACGTTCCTCACCCGGTTTATACATACATTCGTTGGCATACTACATATGCATGTATATACAGGATGCCAGCAACACCAGGAAATGAAAAACACGATCCGTGCAATCTATAATGGACGCACTCTTCCAGCTGGTGCTGTCCCGACATATTCTGCAGACTTCGTCGGTGGTGGGGTGGCTGTAACAGAGCATGTTGGGTTCGGCGATGATTGATTCAGACTGGGTGTGTGCCTGCCGCGCTTATGAATATCGATACATTGTGTTTGTTGTACGTCTGGCAAGACAAACCTGGTATCGAATTGGCTGGCTGCTCACTTGCAACTTTACAGAAAAATGAAGTCTGACTCAACTTGGTTCGCAGCAACGTTCTACACCCTCCTTAGTCACATCTCATACTCCTCATGCCTTGCTCCAATCACCGATTGAGTCTAGAACACCACGGCTAACCCCGATATGCTCATTGTGGATTGCGGAACCAAGCCAAGCAATACAATCCCACTTTTAACAGCCCTTGAGACGTACGATGCCCTAGCGCCAAATCAGCGAAGAGCGAAATAATCAGTTGGGACGAACGTATGCTTGCTCGCTGTTTTCTGCATGCGTCCGTGCAATAACATTACCAGTGAAGTACTACCCTTTTAATGTCGGTCGCAAGAAATACCAAGTACCGGAAGGCATCAACGCCTCGCTTCATAATAGGATAACGTATGAGGCCAGCTGTGGTAAGAGGTCGAACAAGTCACACTGGTATGAAGTCCACCTTTTGTCCCCCTTTCTTACCACTGTTTCGGAGGTAATAGAGATCGAGGAAAAATACCCATTCTTTTCTAACTTTGCAACTGCGGACTTCGACGACGAACAGAATAGCCTCTCCAATGTGTTCACTGGGATTTCTTACAGTCTCCCTCTACATTCTGGATCTCCCGAGGATCCGGAGGACCTGTACAAAACTGTGGGACGCACCTTGTTAACTCGATAGTAGTCAGAGGTAGCGCCCGGTTTGTCTATGTCACGAACACCACCAAATATTCTTCCAAAATTTCCCTCGATGTCGCTGTGAAAGCCTTGTGAAATCCTTAACGGGAAAGCTTGATGCTGAGCAGCATATTCATATTAAGTACAGGGATGCGATAAACTTGGTGCAAGCACCTAGTACATACAAGATTGTTGCTGAAGATATGATGTTATACCTGGCTGTTAGCATGACATCACAGGCGGCGACCCAAGTTATGAACCATTTTTAAGCCACGATAACTGGGTAGGTTCGATTGCAGACTTGCCTGAGTATGGAGCAAGCTTACCTCATAACTTCAAACTGGTCAGTGATATTCTGGTAAAAGGGTCATAGATTTTTGGCTCCCCACCCAGTCTGCTTCCATTCTATGAGTTGGTCACCACGTCCGAGAGGCGGCCACAACTGGAGGAGGCATGCAAGGCATATTACAAGACTGCTGCCGGTTTCGGAATCGACAGACCCTATTTGGAAGTTCGATTATTCCCATCTAACCAAATCGCTTACAAACTCGCGAAAGACGAGACGGCATTAAAGTCATGGAGAGAACATATGGACTCGCTGCTGAGTGTCTGTCCAACAGCTCTGTAAATGCATGAGTAGCGGTCGTGGGAAATTACTAGTAGATCTGCATATTACACTTCAAACTTATGACGCAGGAAGAACCAGAAATACGAACTCGAAAAACTCTAAGCCTGTCACGGCTAGGGTAGCTTGCAAGTTCCACTGTCCTAGCTGCAACGTAGGAGTACACGGTAAACTGAAGACAGCGGCAGCACTCTGGGTAAGCTCCAGACAAGGTATCTACCAGAGTAAGCTTTTGGGAGGGCGGGTCCCTCCCTTTCCCGCCGTCCCGTGAGGGCAACAATTTCTCCCGGAGAGGGGGGAACGAAAATCCCGCTTTAAGCGGATTTGACGAACCTGCCTGAACGATGCAAGAACAGATGCTCTTCGCTTTCACCGTCCGACGCCCATACTTCCTCCTTCTCCCACCCACCGACCTCCTGTACCCACACATGCGTTGGGCGGTCAAGCCTACAGCCACCGAACGTTCTGCTCCAAAGCGGTGACCAGAACCGCTGCCACCGTGCAATGTGCGGGCGGGAGTTCTGCACATGCTCGAAGAACAACAGTTCGCCGCCAGGCTTCAGTACGTCGCTGACGAGTGACTTGATGGTTCGCTGAGGTTCGGGAACCGAGCAAAGTGTTAACGTGGACACGACTGTGTCGACAGGTTGGTAACCTCCCAGAGAGGTCATGATGGATGCGGTATCTTCAGCCCCGCAAGCGAGGACGACCAAGTTTCCATCAGCTTCGTTCAACCCTGCAGCATAAGCTGTACGCCGTATATTTGGGTGCATAAGTACGTTAGGTTCGAGGGCGACATATTTCGTCACTCTTGCTCTGTCGAGGTATTTGATATTATGACCATGTCCTGATAATTTACCCACGCGTATCCGATACCATAACACAGCAATTCAACGAGAATCCAACAAGAAGGCAAGAAAACTGACCAGCCCCGACATCGAGAACTACGCCCTGGGCGTAGGGAGTAATAATTTTCGCTTTCTCTGCAGCGGAGTTCTCGTCTATGCATGGTCCAAAGAAGGACCATACATGGGACATGAAAATGTATGACAGCGTCCTTGGATGGAGAAGAAGCGATGGTTCATGGAAAATCCGTTTGATCGTAGGCAGAAAGGCGACCTTGAAAGCGTATGACAAGTCAACCAGGAGACTGAACCTTTGTAGTAGCCTAGGTAGACTCATCGTTGCTTTTTACAATGCTGGTGGCAAAGGATTCACGACTACCTTGACGTTATTCAAAAAAAGCTCATGATAAGCGCGTGGACTGATCAACGTTTCAACGCCGGCAACATTTGACACTCACACCTCCGAATCCACGTCTCACAGCGTCTCACATCCCTATGGAACTTGTCACACGTTTTCCAGTGTTCCGCCACAAGTACTCTCCGCCACTGGCTCACCCGTCATCTGAAACTCCAGGTTAGAAAGACAGTCACCGTGGGTCCCTCAAGGTTTCCGTTATCATAGCTCCGTTACTCGGTGACAGTTGGGCGCGAAAAGAGCGGGTGGGCGTTGCTCATCCTAAGCGTGTTGGGTTTCGAGAATGCCTTCCATCAGCTTCCATTACTATCTTTTCATCCTTCCTTAAGTGTACAGCTGCGCCCCGGATTTCGGCCTATCAGAAGTGGGCAGCCTCGAGGCAAAGTAGACGCCCTATGGCATATATGAACTCATGGTGAAAAGGCCCTATTTCGGCTGTCTCTTAGTGCATCCGACTCCCCGCAAGGTTCCACATCCACTCGCTAAGCTGATCGCTGAAGAAACTGGGACTTGAAAGAGATACAAATGTCATTACAATACAGGATCACGCACATCTTTTGCCCTCTGAAGCTTCCTGACGGGGATGATCATTCTCACTCAAATGATCTTGCTCTGTCTGAAGCAATATGCGATTCGGCATTCGACTACTCTGGACACCTTGATAACCCTGCAAAAGCTCATTGGGAATATGTGAAGAAGCTGTTGCACAATCTTTACGAGGCAACGCGTCTTCACCAGCTAGAAGAAACCCCCGTCGCGTCCCAGCTCGCATCTATGACAACTGGAGGTATGTGTTGTATGTCGCAAAAGCAATCCTTTTTTGGTACTGACTCCGTGCAGATGTTGTTGCCTATCTTATCCATGCCCAGAATGCAGCTGTTGTATTCAGAAGAGATGCAGAGGAAACCATTGCAGAATCTTTCGAAGTATCCCCTACTGCCGCAGCGGTCATGGGTTCCTGTGGCAAACTCATATGTTCGTACCCGGGGCCTGCGATCGCCATCTCAAACGCGGTTTTTGATGACGCTGTATTCCGCCTCGAGCTTGCTCATTTCCTCTGCGAGATGAACGACGACAGTCTTGACGCGGCTCCAACGACCCGCAAGGCGGGTTCGACAGTTTCCGAGGAGCGGGATACTGTGCACCCTCGGTACATAACAGAGCTGTTGACCGGCATCCTGCGAGCTGTTGGCAGGCCTGCCGAAGTCCAGCGAATCAGCAAACGTATTGGTGATGACGTCGTGTGGCGTGATGCCCGTCTCCCTTGGCGTCGCTCTTCACTCTGGTTGATGATCAGAGTCGTTCTGCAGACTACGCTTGCACGAAATGGTCTCGGGATAGACGGCTACAAGGCGTTCATATTATTCTTCATGAATGGACTCGCCCGAGAAGCCGCGGTCCAGGGAATGCCTGACGACGTCCTGCACTGGATATCCGCCAAGATCAGTCGTCGGCTGACAAAACTGGGAGGGTCAGCCCCTGACTGGTTGTCAGCTTCCGTGCTGCAGACGTGTACGGACATCCGGAATCTGTTGGATAGAAGATGGAAGCAGGTGCAGGACAGCGATGCCTTCTTACCAATGTGGAATCCCCTTTCCCTCAATATCCTGGCTGATACTCGACTCTCCTTACTCGACAGTCACAAGTATATCACCGACATCATGAATCCAAGCTACTCCACCGTGCGGCCTGCCAGTTCTGTGACCAGCCGCCGCATGCGTGGTGATTTGGATAATTTTCTATCGACCACTGGCAACTTCTTCCGGGATGCCTACGAGGCAGACCCCCATTTGGCGCTTTATGATGTGGAACGAGAGGTTAGCCACGGCATCGATGATTGGGTTGCTGGTGTCTTGGAGGATGATGCTGATGCAGCATGCAAGAAACTGGAGCTCCTAGCCAGCAAGTATTCATTGGCAGCTAGGAACACGTACGAAGGCAATCCAGAAGACTTCTCCCGAATGCTTCTCACCGTAATCGAATTATGGGTTGCATTAGACAAGCTCGTCACCCGACAAATTCCCATGCTCCGTGAATATTCCCCTGAAATACCTATCTCTCTCCTGGAACGATTACTTCTTCGGGATGCACTTGACATCCAGCGGCTTCGTCTCGCATCAAATTACATCCACATGCGTCGCTCTAAAGCAATAAATGGGTGGTCTGTATTCTCGAACTCAGCGGGCTCGACCAACTTTGCAGTGCGCTACTTCAACGAAGATTCTGGTTTGCTGTCCCTTAGGGACTCCATTGTTGACGCCGCTCGTCGTGAGCGGGAAGAAAAACTTTTGGAGCTCAAGCGGTCGAATGAACGCTACCACGACATAACGGAGACGTGCTGCAGGCATGGAACACAATTATGGGATTAATAGCCGTGGTAAAAGGAAACACCCCAGACGGAAGTGCGCGAAGTGCAGGCTTGAGTCTGAGTCGAAAATCGAGATTACAGTACACGAATGGCCGCTCCCGGAGGATCCTTGTCGGGCCGCAATAGTTGTATTCGAGCTGAATCGCCCACTCGCTTTCGACATGTGGCGTTCTATCGTTTTTCTCCTACTTGTCGATATCTGTTCCCCGCCACTGCAGCAGAGACATCCTCATACCTGTCTCGAAGAATATTCTGCGCTGTCCTCCTATCGCACTGAACATGCCTAGATCTCGTATCACGCTGGCATCTGACCCGAAACCATTCATAAAGTCCCATTACCGCTCAACCAGCATACCGGCGGTGGAGAGCGAGGTCTGCGTCAATAATGGTCTCAGCTTTTACTGCTACGATAAAAATTCCTGTTTCTCCGCTGCTGACTGCTTCGGCTCCGTGCATATATCTGGCTCATGCTCCTATCAGCTCCCGCCTGGCCCCTATCGCAACTTGCAGCGCTATCTTCAGCATACTGCCCACACGTCAAACGATGTGCTCTGCAGTCTGGCTGACTGTGACAAGGACCTCTCTTCCCACGAGTTCACAGCATATGGCCACCTACGCAGCGGACCTTCTTTGCAGTGGTTCAATATTTTGCGGGAGATTCGTGCCAATACATTGACCTTCCGTCGTGATGAGGTCCACATGATCTTCTCTCAAGCAGCTAGCGAAGTTGGTCCAGTATCAGATGACGGGAAGTTGGTGTGGCATGTTGAGCTGGAACAGCCACATTTTCGTCACTCACTCTTGGGCGAACTGGAGACTCTCGTGTTGATTGTGTCGGGGAATTGGCTGGAGGGTATGACGATGGACACAATATCATTCGTGGTTGGTAGGATGCTCTCTGCGACGTCCTCAGTCCAAGACGATAGCCACCATAGAGCCCTTGGACTACTACGCACTGTCCGGGAGAAGACGTTCAGTTGGGTGTTGGAACTCTTTCACAAACTGGAACAGGCGACGTGCGAGGTTGACAAGGAGCAGCTTCGAGGACGACTTCGTGACTTGGGCGCCATCTGCCGCAGTACTTTTGACGTGAGTCTCGATAACGTGACGCAGCTCCTCGACTCCCCCAGGGATCTGGAGATTCTAGTGTGCTGTGCGATAGTTATCCATGACAACACGCCCTCACAGCTCAGTGCTCTCGCTGGGATGCCAAAGCTTCTTGTGGAACGTGACCATCGTTTATCATGGAAGTTGGAGGAGCATGTGGGCAATTTGATCTTGGAAAGGAATGCTGGCATCGATCTCGGAATCAAACATATTTGGCCTGGGTACTGCAGAAGCACACGATGGCAGAGGGCCGGCGCTGGTCATCGTAGCTGGTTCACTACCGATACATCCAGTTTTGCCTCCCAGTGGTCACAAAAAGTGAGCTTCGACGTCCTTAACGGTACTTTATTGGTGGATGGACGCCCGATGGGAAGACTGCCGGATAAGATCATGACAGATCCAAATTTTGCCTTGCTTTTCGGTGCTGTAAGTGTGTTGATGTTACATAATCTACTCCGTGAACTCATTCCCAGTAGCAGGCACCGGATGTCATTCCTGGTGATATGGCTGGAATGGAATATGCTACTCGTGGTTTGATTGACAAATATCGCGTAGGTGTTCTGGTCAATTCGTATCCACAGATAGTCGAGCTTGGTCCTGCAGGTTTACTTCCGAATGGGAACGAACGGTTTGATAATTCGGGCCAAAACAGAAGCTGAGCCGGACGTTTTCGAATTCATTCCTTCTCAGAAGTTGGGGTCAGATTTTCCGGCTGCACTGGTTGAGGATCATGTACACTGGTTCAACCTCACATCCCGGACGATGGAAGCTCGTCCTTTAGAGAATTTGTGGAAGCCATCCCCTGACAACTGGAAGCTTCAGTTTTCACCCAGACATCACTCGATGACTAGGGGGGATGTCAGACTCTTCGATGTCCGCAGTCAAACTTGGAAGATGTTGTCTCAACGGCTTCAGCCTTTGGAGAATCCGCAGAACCTCACCATCACGCTGGAGAATCCGAATATGGTGTCTGTCGATTTACCACGCTATGGTCTTTCTTTCTTCGTCAATGATAACCAGGAGTTGGAGTGTCGTCATCCTCGTGGTATGGTATATGACGAAACCCAATCTGCAGGAACGTTGATCGGGCTAGCAAACAAACTTGTCTTGCGACCCAAGGCCAATTCGGCCGACGACGGTGCCCAAAGACTCGTTCTTGTGCCGGAAGGAGATGTGTCATTCGCGAGGCAAGGTGATCATGTGCGGGTCGCGATCGATATATCTGGTCCAGCGCACAAGCGCTTTCGATACCAAATATTCCGAATTGATACCGACTTGGGATGTTTGGTTGGCAATGCTAGCCTGGCTAGCAATCTTTATCGAGCCTACCTGCATGCACTAACCAGCAAACCGTCTTCGGTGGACCCTCTAACACAGAGGACTGGCACGGAAGAAGCACGATCTATTTTGCGCTCTGCTGCATGTCAGTCCTTCATGAAGGTTGATGCCCGCTCCGCCAAGTTATTGTGTTGCATAGCAGGACTGACCACTCGCCGAACATGGTACCCTAAACATTTGAAGCGCATGCAAACCGTGCACTGGTTGCAGGGTCTCCCGGTTGCGTCTCAGCACTCTGGCTTTTACTATGCGTGCTCGTCTATCAAGGAGATACAAGAAAAACAGCAAGTTTTTCATGGTCAATCTGCGCCACCTTTGGAAGACTTCCCATCAGCTTGTGGTGACGGTCTACTTTTCCGTGCTGGGATCAGAGCTGCAGTGCTTTACCCACGAAAGTCGCATCATCACCTTCTTGCCGACACGCATGACTCTGTTTACGAGGCAAGGGACATGCAATTGTCATCCGCCGATGGACTCCGGGCATACAGCACTGCCCTTGCCGTTTATAATTGGTCAGCTCAAAGATGTCCAGCCAAAAAAATCCAAGGCTTAGTTAAGTCATGGAAAGGAAATATGCGGGGTGTTTCGCAGGCATTTTCGTTGCGTTATAACAAAGACTGGTTATTCCCAGATTTACCTGCGATCTGGCTTTCATTGTACGACAGCTGTCGTAAGAGCCAAGCACCACAGCATCGTTTCCAACTCATATTCTCCCTGTCTACCATGGTATATGCCTCCCCGAAGCTTGAAGTCGTCGCTGGCGCTTTGCTGGCCTTTGCAACAATGCCTCAATTCAAGAAGAAGATCCGCCTGACCACTCGATTTACGACCTCTCTGACGGGTATACACCCTCACATCATGCACTGAACCAGTTCATTTCCCGGCGCGTAAAGCCTCGCCGGTCCAGCGTCGATCAAACGGAGTACATGGAACAGCGCGAACAAGAAAAAAATGAAGTAATTGAAAAAGCGACTGCTGTGTGGCCATGTATGGAGCCTCCTAGCGACTTTCCGGAGTGCTCATGGTATGACATTGACGCATTAAATTCTGATCTCAGCCCATTGTTCGCGAGTTGCTATCGGAACATGGAGTTGAAGGATCACTTGAATCGCGTGGTGTCAATTCTTGACCAAAATGCTACGTCTTTCCTTGCTGACCAACAACTGGCATATTCCTTTGTACCAGCAGGTCAGGGCCACCACCGAGTGAACCTGGACGTGACCCTGGAGGTCCTATTCCATCGCGTTGCACCTGCCATTCCACTAAATGAGGTGACGCCTCAGAACTTGGGGTTCAATCTCCACCGTGACAATTATGCTCTACATTATCCCCTCGCTAAGACTCTTTTCCAGTCTCGAATTCGGTATTTGTTCTTGTACAATCGATACTTTGTTCTGACCCTGATTTCACCTGATCTAGGAAGATGAGCCAGTTGATTGGCGACCTTCACCGGAATGCGAACTCGACGTTTCATGCTATCTATGCAAATGAGCTCCAACAGAGTGCAGACCACCTTAGTTGTGACCAGCCGACTCTGGAAGTGGATACCCCCACACACCCGGTAGAGTCGTTCAGAAGCTATTGCGAGCAAAGCAGGACAAGATACCAGTCTGCCCTAAGGTTCCTCGCAGAATACTTAGGGACCACAAACGACAAGCGAGCACACAGTCTATAGGTCTGGTCGGTGGCCACGTATCACAGCAAAGGTTCTCCTTGGCTGCCTTGCATCAACATCGCAAATTACATTGCCCCGTGATTGGCGAGTTTGTTTAATAGCATTCGCAAAGCTCGCTCTGGAGTACCAGCGTGCCCGCCGAATGCTAGCCTTGGCAAAGAATGGCCAAACCGAGGATTTACACAAAGAGATGGAAAACACTGGTTGCGACGGTTGGGAGGCAGAGTCATACGCTGACTGGCTATTAATCCAGGTGCCTTCATCTCGTCACCTCAGCTGATTTCATGTAAAGCTTATTCAGCCCCTCTATTCCCGGTTCAGCTTGACGGAGATTTCCTCATCCGCCGCGTCCAAGCAGATGTTGCGCTAGAAATGATAGCACCCCATTCCGGCCAGAACACCGTTCTGCAATTGAACATGGGTGAAGGAAAATCCTCAGTAATCGTACCGGCAGCCGCCTCGGTCCTCGCCGACGGAAACCAACTCATGCGAGTGGTGGTCCCGAAAGCCCTCGCTTCCCAAATGTTCTATCTACTGGTAGATCGACTTGGTGGACTTGTCAACCGACGAATCTTTTATTTGCCGTTTTCAAGGTCTTTGCAGATCGACGAATCCGGAGCTAGAGCAGTCCAGGAAATCTTAGAACAATGCATGCGCGAACGTGGTATCCTTGTCGTGCAACCCGAACACATCCTGTCTTTCAAACTGCTGAGCGTTGAGAAGCAGCTAGATGATACTACGGGTATTGCGGAACCACTATTGCAGACTCAGCGGTGGCTCCATTCATACGCTCGGGATATCCTTGATGAAAGTGATGAAATCCTGCATGTGCGAAATCAACTGATCTATGCTATTGGTTCACAGAAACCTCTGGAGGGCTCTCCCACCCGGTGGTCGACCACCCAACAGATACTCCATTTGGTGAAGAAACATGTCCCTGCGCTCCACGCGGATTTCCCGTTTGGTGTGGAATGCGAACCATGTCACCATCGCGGTGGGGCTTTTCCTCACATTCGTATTCTTCATCGAGAGGCTGGCAACGAGCTAATTTCCAGGATTGCTCAAGATGTCATCGATGGACAACTACTTAACTTCACTGGGGTGCGCGGTATCGAGAGAACCATAATTCACCATTTCATCACCCGCATGGACGTTGCCTGCTCTGAAGTCCAAGTAACACGGGACTACTGTGGAGGCACCGCCATGTGGATGACTTTGATACATCTACGCGGACTTCTAGCATCTGGAATCTTGCTATTTGCCCTCATGGAGCGACGATGGCGTGTCGGCTACGGACTGGCACCTTCGCGGACCATGCTTGCCGTCCCTTATCGTGCGAAAGATGTCCCAGCTCCGAGAGCAGAATTTGGTCATCCAGACATTGCGATAGTGCTCACTTGTCTCTCGTACTACTACAGTGGACTGGATCGGGAGCAGCTGATGTTATGCTTCGAGCGCCTCCTGACGCTAGATAACCCGGAACAGGAGTACGAGTCATGGGTCCGCAATTGCCTTGAAGTCCCCGAGAATCTCTGTCAAATCAGTGGCATTAATACTCAGTCGTTGGACCAGTGGAATCAGTACCTTTTCCCTCTATTCTCGCGCAATCAATCAACAGTAGACTTTTATCTCTCACAAGTTGTCTTTCCGAAGGAGGCCAAGGAGTTCCCTTCGAAGCTGTCTAGCTGTGGGTGGGACCTTGCAGAGGAGCGGGAGCACGTTACCACTGGTAAGTACGTCGCTTAGCCACGACCTCTCATAACTCATGTTCGTTAGGATTTTCCGGGACAAATGATGCGCGTTATTTGCTACCGACTTCCACCGTACAGCGGGACCTTCATCACCAACGTGCTACCAATGCAAAGGTTCTCTCCTACCTTATGAGGCACGAGAATGACGCATACGTGCAAACGTCGTGGCCAGATGGCCAGCGACGAACAGCTAGTGCATTCCTTGCATTTGTAGTGGAACAAACGCCAGAAATTCGTGTGATATTGGACGTCGGTGCCCAGGTCCTGGAACTGAAAAACAACGAATTCGCAGCACTCTGGTTGGAGCTGAAACCTGATGCGCTTGCTGCCATCTACTTCAATGACGACGACGAGCTGACCGTGCTTTCACGCGATGGATCCACACAATCATTTTTAGAGTCACCATATGCAAGTCGCCTGGACGAGTGTATTGTATATCTCGATGATGCACATACGCGAGGCACTGACATCAAGTTTCCGATCGGGTTCCGTGCAGCAGTCACTTTAGGGCCCAAAGTTACCAAAGACCGCCTGACTCAAGGTATGGCTATAGGATCGGTTGATGAGGAATGTCACTGAACTTGATGGTAGGGTGTATGCGCATGCGTAAACTTGGACATGGTCACTCTGTGGTATTTTTCGCTCCTCTGGACGTAGACAGGAATATCCGCGACGCAGCTAGAAGAAGCGATGGAGACACCATACATCCATCGGACATCTTGTTGTGGGCCATGGGCGAAACGTGCATGGAGATCCAGAACAGCGCTCCCTACTGGGCTCAGCAGGGAAGAGACCACGCTTTCCGGTACCGTGCGTGGTCGAAGTTCTGTAGCGGCGAGATAACTGCCCAAGAACTCGCCGTGACTTGGCGTCAACCAGATGCGAAAACCCTGGAAGAATTGTATATGCCGTCCGGTCCTGAGGTGCAATCAGAACCGCCCATTGCGGCAATCGATCGACAGTGCCAAGCGCTTGGCGTTGCCTCCTCGACCGTTTCTAACATGAACGAGGAACAGGAACGAGAAATTGTGCACGAAATGGAACGCGAAACGCAAACAGAGCGACCACCGCCAGCGACCCCTGCAAGGCATCAGGTCTCCGCAGATGTCCGTCATTTCGTGCGCACGGGCATGATTATCCCTTATTCTCAGGCCTTCCTTCCCATGTTTAATTCATTCCGCGATGCCACAACACCTGCTCAAGAAGAGAATGTGTGGTCCCAATACATCCTCACGACTTCTGACTACTGTAGTGTGGTGGAGGGACGCACACGGGTGAATGTTGGTGAATACCTCCGCCCAGTTAACTGGATGCTCTCAAGCCAGTCAAATGGAAACCCCGCTCTTGTCATCCTTAGCCCGTTCGAGGTAAAAGAGTTGTTACCGGAAATCAGAAACAGCGGATCCGTATGCCTTCACATCTACACGCCACGAACCCAGGCAAGAATGCGTCCATGTGACGACCTGCGTCTGTACACAATTCCTTCTGCTCGTCCTGACTGGGTTTTTTCCCCTTCACACGTCGACCAAGTAAACCTGTTCGCTGGACAGCTGTACCTGCGGGACTACGACACATATATTCGCCTTTGTCGCCTTCTTTGCATCTATGCCGACGATCTAGCTGGTAAAGAGAACTTGGAGGTCGAGAGCGATGGATTCATAGCTCCTGAGCATCGCCCCCTGGAGGCACAATCGGCTGGCTCTTTCCGGAAGTCTCCACTTGCTTTCCTCAGGCATATCATTAACCTGCGTCGGAGGGGGACGAACTTCGCGATGACCCACATGGGAAAAATTCTGAATGGACGGTTGTTGAAGCAGGAAGACTTCGAAGACCGCTAATCGGTGTGCAGTGACACTTCTCATCGATGTCTCGAATACGTAGGATTAGTTGTATGTTTGTTGCAAACTTACTCCGATGTTTTGCTTTTGTAGTCCAGTTGTTCCATATGTATGTACATTGTTGTTTGATAAGCGTCAGCCAATTGTCAGGAGTTTGGTTACCAGCGAACGTGCGAGCGCAGTAGACTTACCATAATCATGGCTTTCAGAATTGAAGAATGAGTGCTTGTTGTAAAACTCCAGAGTAAGGTAGGTGTTGTATGTAAGAACCGCTGTAAGCACACTGTGAGATTAGAATGAAGTGAGCTGGCTGTAATTATGCATAAGAAGTCTGCACAACAACTCAGGCTGCGAATGCCCCAATCCTCCTTCGCACCTCTACGGCCCGACCGCTGCCCCGTCCTTTGGAACGCCCAAATACGACAACCTTTCCCACCTCGCCCGCCCGCCCGGTTCTACCAGCACGGTGCAAAAAGTCGATCATATTCCGAGGTTCGTCCACAATAAAGACATGCTTGATGTTAGGGTGGAAGTCAAGTCCCCGTGAAAGCAATGACGTAGTCACTAGAACGTGAGGCGTAACTGCTGGATCTGACGACAGGGAAGGTACGGCAACATCAGTCGAGTTCTGCTTCAAGAAACCATCCAAGTGGTGATTGGAACCTCGCTGTCGACCATCTGCATTGCCGGTAAGCGCGACGCATTTGATGCCGCGACCGTCAAGGAAAGCGCCGAGTTCTTCAACCTTGCGCCTTTTGTTACAGAAAACGATGACTTTAGAAAGCTTAACTGGCCGGGGGCTTCCGTGGGTTGTCTTGGCGTGAACAAGTGCGTCTTCCGCCCATACGCGGCGAATGCGACGTTCGATATCTACATCTTTGTTTCCACCAGTCCAGGAAGCATGTTCCGTACGGAGAGTGCGAGGTAGATGATGTAGATGGGGGGAAGCAAGCCGTGTCAGTGTAGGATGGTAAGTTGCGAGGTAGTTGCTTAGGGAGTTTGGAATCGTTGCACTGGTAAGGAGGAAATTGAAAGGGTAGGATATCGGCTGAGCTGTGATTTCCACCTTTTGTTGTGTGTCTTGCGGGACCAGCATATGTGCTGGCGTTACGGGGACAGGATAACCGCGTGCCGCAGCTATGTCTGCTAGCAGCATACAGGTGGATTCTTGGAAGTCAGGGTCTACGCAATGGATGCGAATAAATTAGCATTTGAACCTATTGCATAGTAAGAAGCCAGAACACAACACACCAAATAACACGTCCGCTTCGTCCACTATCACCCACCCCACCTTTTCCAGTCCCATTTCGGGCTCGTCGACCCAGAACTTCCGTCCCAAGTCGACAGCGGATGCTTCCTGGAGCGAGTCCTGTCCTGCTACACCATCCTTGGTATTGATGCGCAATGCACGTTCGCGTGCGCGCTGCTCCCAGTTCCATCCCCTACCCCTTTCTAACTCCAGCATTTTCATCGGGGTACCTACCAGTAAATCGACCGGCCGAGATGCGCGCCCATTACCGGGAATGAAGATCTCTGCGCCATCGTTGTGGTCTACTCCCTCCATCAGCCTTTTCATCTTCGATGCGGTCCCTTTTTCCTTAGCTGTGCTAGGCACATTTGCCCTCGACGCGCACATGACACGTAGTTTGACAATATGCGAAAGCTTTTTGGCAAAACCTGCTAATTGTCGCGAGAGCTCATGAGTCGGCGCCAGGACCAAAGCACGAGGATTGAGTGGTCTCGATGATTTCCGCGAAGAAGCTTGACTCTCGAGTTCGGTGCGTTTCAAGTCCTGAAGGAGTGGAAGCAAATACGCTATCGACTTCCCTGACCCGGTCTCACTCGCAAGTAAGCATTCTATCCACCTCGAATCCGAGTTGCGCTGCTTGATGAGATGCTTCAAAGAAAGAGCCTGGATTGCTGTTGGTTTGGCATTCTCGCCAATGAGCTCATGTAAACATTGGAGGAGGCCCGGAAGCAGGGGAGAAGACTTGAAGTTTTTCGGTAGACCTCCGAGGGATGTGGAAGATGTGATATCAAATTCTTTTTCCATTGGGCCAACGGTAGAACCTCGTCGCCCCTGGGCTGCCGCTGCGCGTCTGTCGACGCGTTCCGAGTGTGCCAAGGCAGCGAAGTGCTTTTTCTCTGCGGATCTGGTCGACGTCACCGGTTCGGAAATGCGTCGCCTTCGAGAAGGACTTGGTTCATATGGTGTCCTTCCTTCATGAGGTGCCCTGTCCCTGGTTAACTTGGGTGCGACCTCCAACGTTCCAAGTCTTTTGGCCTTCCCAGTAGGCTTCAGGGATTTTGCCAGGCGTGATTTCGGAGAGGAAGCTTCAACGGACGTGTAAAGTGAGTCCGTCAACTGCAAGAGAGTTGTACGTACGAGTCTTCGAATTGCTCTTCCGGCCCTTTCGACGTGCTGGAGACAACAGCACTGAAGATGTGTGTATACATGGCGATACAGAACCACCGGTAGAGCGAGCCAGCACCCTGCTAAGGTGCAAGGCAGCAAGCATCGATCAGAGGCTCGGAGTAAGTGTCAGGAGGAACACTTCCTAAAATATGGTGGCGGTAACGAAAATAACACAAAATGCCCCTACTTAGGACTGATATACTGGTCAAGCAGTCTCTACGTATGTAGGCTCTCCTTTCGCGGGGTACCCTGAATCGGAACCAGGGTACATCATCTGAATGATGTGATTTGTGTGTAGCAATCAAGTGTTGGGAACGAACTCCAAGTCGTTGCTGATGATTCCAAAAGTTGGGGCCCGGTGTGTTGAGTGTGAATAATTGCGATGCTCCTGGAAAGCTCAGTTTTGGTCTACGGATTGTGTGGTTTCTACCTGGGGGCGGTCGGTTGTGCTTTCCTGTGTCCAGTGGGCTGCGCCGTCTGCCATCATTCATTCGTTACACACCGCACGAATCTGACTGCCACCATTGGGCTAGATCTTCTACTTGACAGTGGAAAGCAGGTCGTGGCACGCTATCAGTGCAGATAAGTTTCAAGCAGCTTGTATGTCGCCAACCTTTTCGCTGCACAGTGCAAAACTACCCTGACACCTTGCTCGCCACCCACATAATCAGGACGTTTAATACTTAACCCCATCCCGCGTGCTTGGCTGTCATCCACTGTCGCTTTCCCAATGTCGCTCTCATACTCTGTTGGCGAACGCGTGCTGTGCTATCACGGTCCACTCATCTACGAGGCGAAGGTCCTGAAGGCGGAGGTGTGGGATGAGTCGAACACAAAAACCGCTGCCGTGGGCCCACACTTCTTTGTGCACTACAAAGGGTGGAAACAGACGTATGTCATCCTTAGCTACCCACCTGTTTCTGTTGATATACTACTGCGTGCTCAGATGGGATGAGTGGGTATCGATAACTCGACTCCTTAAGTACGACGAGACGAACGTTGCGCTACAAAAGGCGCTCACGAATCAAGCTTCCGCGGCTGCAGCTTCCTCGTCAGGAGCCTCTAAAGGAAAGGGTACGAGTGGAGGGACTAGCACTACTGGAACGGGGACTGGACGAGCTAGGAAGGATGGTCGTGGCACGAAACGAGGAAGAGAGGAGGTAAGTCTGGTTGTGGTTTCGCGCAATGGCTTCCTTCCACCGGGCTCCGCGGTATGCATGGGGCTCTATCGTTTGGTCAGCAAGCACCCTCATGCTCGCACCCGTGGCATTCACCTCTTTAGAGTTTCTGAGACATCGCTAATATTCGTTATCACTATTTAACCGTTCCATGGCAGGACGACAGTCATCGGAAACCAGAGATGAAGTTGAATGTTCCCGAAGCTCTCAAAGTACAGCTTGTGGACGATTGGGAAGCAGTTACGAAGAACAATCAGGTATACTTTGTGAATCGAGTCCGCTTTACTCTTACTCAGTCATACCGGCACTCCCTCTCTTGCAATCACTCTTTCTCCTAGCTCGTTCCCCTTCCTCGCAATCCCAATGTGCTCGACATTCTCCTGGAATTTAAGGATCACATCATAAAAATGGGTAAACAGACCAAGTGCGCTCGTTGTCGTCTCGCCTTGACTCAGTCAGCCACACTTACACTTTGTCCTACAGCCTTCGTGATCCGGAGCTCATATTACCGACCATCATTTCCGGTCTTCAAGTCTACTTCGACCGATCTCTGGGTGCAAATCTGCTGTATCGATTCGAACGCCCACAATATGCGGAGATTCGGAAGACTTACGTCACGGGCCCGAAAGTAGTCGTTGGGCAAGAGAAAGAAATGAGCGCAATTTATGGAGCGGAACATTTGCTGAGAATGTTGGGTAATTGCATCTTTCACATCTCCATTTCACGGTACACGTCCTCATGCGAGTTATTACACCAGTGAGCCTGCCTCAGATGGTGGCAAGTTCCACGATGGACGCGGAGAGTGTAGGCTTGGTGAAGGATTATGTTAATGAATTGCTTGTGTTCGTCCCCTCTCTCGACCCATCCTCATCTTGTCGTGTCAAAATTCGCTGATCATCCGTTAACAGGTTCCTTGTAAACGAGCGCAGCCGGTTTTTCTTGACTGAGTACGAAAGTTCAAGTCTGCAGTACCAGAACATCTCGCGGTCGTGAATATATCAATTCCTCGATATTTGTTGTGGTCCTTTCCGTGTCTTCACAGCTGTGCAACCCGATTACAATTTGTGAACCCAATTTATCACCTCCACTGAGCACCATATGTATATGGGCATTGGGTGTAGATCTCTGTACATTTACGTGCCAAGTGATCGAATGATCCTTGAGTGTTGTCAAACGTGACGTCATAGGAGATGAGCCAGCTATATATACCCTTCGCTATCTTGTTCCAGTCGTCTCTTCACCGCCTCACTCCAAGCTAAATCTCACAATGACCTCTATGTTCGCAAGCGCCGCGCACACTGCTCATTCTGTAGCAGCGGGAGTTCTCAATACTGCACAGATCAAAACAGGTGAACGAGTGCCTGTCAAGCCTGTCAAGGAAAACGATCCTGGACAGCGTTTCGACATCGATTTGTCGGGTAAAAACCTCATTGTGAGTTTTGGCGTCATAGGACAGTTTGGGGTAATTGACCTATGTAACCCGTTCTGCGTAGATCGGGATTCCAGGTGCCTTCACGCCTACGTGCAGCTCTCAGGTCCCATCGTATGTCTCCGACTATGACAAGTTTAAGGCGAAGGGAGTCAAGGATATCTTCGTGGTGGCCATCAACGATGTTTTTGTGATGAAGTATGTGATCATCTTATTCATCGCGTCGGATGCCTGATCCGCTACCCCACCGTTTACAGAGCATGGAAGGAGAAGCTTGCCCCACAAGGCACCGGTAACTCATACAGATATCCACTCGTGAAAAGTACTGACGCTCCTCGTGATTTTGCAGGAATTCGATTCATTGCAGACGACAGGGGAGAGTTCACCGGCGCCCTCGGGCTACTCTTTGATGCGACCGATTTACTTGGAGGCCTACGTGCGAAAGTGAGTGAATCTCAAATTGTAATTGGAGGGACGTGCTGCTGAAGGCTACGGGACCCACTTAGCGCTATGTCATCATCGTGCAAGACGGCAAGGCAGAATATGTCGGGGTTGAACCAGATGTTTCAAAGACAACAATTACATCGGCAACGGACGTGATCGAAAAGTTGTAATGTGGCAATAGCTTACGGAGGATCTTTCATGTGTTTGAGGGGTTATGAGAGTCGTGTTAGCACGTTCATGGCGCAGGCGATGTGCACGTACAGCGTTCTCATGTGGGAGTAACCGTACGAGCTCTGAGATACAAACGAGATACGACAAGCCTGTTCACATATGTAGGATCTCCTGGAGGATGGCTGAGGCATGTATGTCAGTCGACGTGTTATTGAGCTCAGCAAACTACACGCCCTTCTGGTAACTCCGGTAACCTATCTGCCCCCATCGCCATCCCAGGCGAAGGGGGGTCCGTTATCTCTTCGGGGTGGTGATGCGTATGATTGCAACTGTAATGTGGACGTAAACGACGCTGTCACCTCGTTTACAAGGTCATTGCACCTGAAATTGAAAATTCGTCACTCATTTTTCGACATCTGTGATCTTCCCATAAAGAAAGCCTGATTCAAATCATGGTGGCAATGAATTGTGGGCATGTAATTGTAGTCCAAGCATCATCTACTTGTGAACGAGTGTCAAATCCAATTGTAGGTTTGGCCCATCCAAGCTCAATACCAATGCACTACCGCGCCGTGTACTTGCGAACGAGGATGCGGAGACGTTGCGGAGACAGAGGAGTTGATGAGCGGTGTAGGATTTTCAGACATAGAAATCTCGCATGTAAATTATGGGGATCTACGTATGTCGCATCCGTAAAGAAGGTGCCTGCCGCCCCCGACGACCCTATCTTCTAGTAGTGAGTTAAGTCCCAATATGTAATCGAGCCATGATCGATGGTATAGTATAAGTAGTAACGGAACGAGATGCTAGAGAGGGTAAACACCCGTGTACAGGTACCAGCCCCTTGCATGACTTCTCAACCTCGTTAACAAGCCTACGTCGTCTACGGCGCATGACTACGAACAAATCTCCAACTCAGCCTCAGGTCTCTTGAGGTTCCGTCTCCATGTAACAAGTAATCCAACGAGGACAACACGAAAAAATACGAACAGAAAAAACGACCGATGAAGGAAGAAAGACGAACTAGCTTTAGCAACCGTCAGTTGAGCCCGAACTCCGCACATACACGTCAAAGGATTTCCAACACTCTCGCTCGAACGTTCTTGGAGGCGATGTTGGTTCCGAGTCCCGAAACGACAATCTCGTTCTCTGCAGCGACCCTCTTGTATACCGTTCCATTCGACTGCTGTACGAGAAGCAATGCGTTAAAGGGCTGTCCAAGGCGAGCAATCACATGTAGTGCCCGGGTATAGTTGTCAACCTGAAGCGCAGGGACAGCCGGTATCGGCACAACTTCATCCGAGCCAGTGTCACTGTCAGAGTCCGAGTCATCCCAAGTAACCCCACTACTCGGACCTCGGATATAATTAATCCAGGGATTCGCGAAGATGAGTTTCTTTGGCTCGTGCAGTGGGAGATCATCCGCGGTCATGAACTCTACATTTCCAAATCCTGATACCCTGGCACGATAAAGCTTCTTGTTGTCACCACGTGGGTTTTCGAGACTTCTCACAGAGAAGACGATGCATGGAAGATGTAGACGTCGGGTTGCAAAACGGGCGGGGGAAAGATCATTGATCTTATTATATATAGTCCGTGCTTCATACCGGGGCAACTTTTCACGTAATTCTTTGATGCACCTTTGGATTTCATCCCCTTCGAGAGATGGAGGGCCGTAAGGAGTTTGGCTGTAAACGGAAAGGGAAGCCGGGAGACAAGTGTTGTATGATGACGACTTTCCTGACCACGCAAGTACACTGACCTCCCCAGAGCGGGCCACGATCTCCTCCAGAAGGTGTCCGAGGGCGTCGGTTCCTTCGCCGTAGTAGGGCTTGATGTCGGACTTGAATATGCCAATAAGAGAGTACGCGACGTCTTCCTCAACTGTCGCATTGCGTGTCGAAGCGAGACGAAGTTTCTCGCGCACCCCGAGGTCATCTGGAGAGAACGTGACGATAGTTCCACGTGGAACCTTGATGGCGTTTGCCAGCTCTTGCATGATCTCCGGAGACTGCTTGTGGTTTGCACTGGTATCGCCAAGGTATAACTTCCACTCGGCATCATAGAAAAAGATGACTTCCGGTGCGAGAAGCTCTTGTAAAGTCCATGCTCGCGTCATCCACAAACTACGCGTGAGGTCCCTGGGCTTGGACGGATGCGTTACACCGGCAAGGTATACGAGTGTGGCTGCCGAATTCGCATACCATTTGTACATGGATGTAAGAGATTGACTAAGGATGGAACTCGTGGACTTGTCGATACAACATGTATCCGACCATGCCCAGTTATAACCAAGTCTGCGCGTCTCCTTGCAGAAATTGCGCAACTTCTCGTTCAAGGGCGTGCCAGGGAGTTTCCACACGGATTTGGATTCAACTTGCTTGACGTCCCGGAATAACGGCTCGTTCCCCTGCCACGCGTGCGAGAACATCACATATTTGAAAAATCTTGCAACCACTTGTAGGATACGCTTCTCGTCCATTTCTATCGTCATAGATGAAACGAGCTCTTTGAATGATAGGTCGGCCTTGAAGATATGCATCCGCTCAGCACTGTCGCAAAGGCAACCAGTGTTGACATCGATTACGACCAGGGGATAATTTTTAAGGGTCTCGCGGATGATAGGATCAATAGCTGCAATTGTCTCGGATGGAGAAACGTAGTTCTTGCGCAGTTCTGTGAAATCATTAAATGTGGTTATTAGGTTCATACAGGAGGCACATACGCCTGATTGCAGGGTCATGGGACTGCTCGATCGCTTGCAACATAGACTTGAAAGCATCGATCGCTTCGTCATACCGCTTCGCTCCATGGAGCGCCAAATGCTTCACCTCATGGCCCCAAGGGTTGGAGGGATCCGCTTTCACCGCCTGTACAGCAGCTGTAAGGAACGACTCATACAAGAAGCGTACCATGCATACGTTTTTCGCATCTTGTAGTGCATCCTCCCACAAACCTTCTGCTGCTCGAGCTCTGCTCCACTTGATAAACGGACCTGCAGCACTTGGACGACTGTTGGGAAATGCAGCAGACCACTGTGTTATTGCATCATCATGTTTTCCGGATCCACAGGCTTCGTCGCCAAGATGCTCAAGTGTGGCAGCGCATTTTTTGGTGAAATCTGATGACAGACATTAAACGTACATGCCAACCAGACTAGCGGCTACAAGACGTACTTGCGATCCAGTCCGCATTCACATTGCTCCTCAGGACCTCCTCGTCCGATGACCTGATGATGTTGAGGAAAATCTCCACAGCTTCGGCTGCACGGTCTTCAGTGAAAAGGGTTTCGCACAGAAATTGCTGGGAAGCGACGTCCAGCCCATTGAAACTCCACCCAAATATCTTTATGGAGGGTTAGGTTGATAGGTAGTGACGGCAGAAGACCTACAAGTGAGATCGTCACTAGCGGAGGGCGTTGCTTGTCCTTGGGGGCTAGGTCCTTCGCACGCTCGATCAATCGTATCGCATGTCTGTAATCCCTCTTCTTCATGTACATAACTGCAAGGACCTGCACAATGTATCAGGGGTGATACTTAAATGTCTGCATGACGCAAGGCACGTACCTGGGTGTAAAGGTAGGTTTTATCGTCATCATTGTCATTGTTTGCTCTCGTAGCAAGGTGTTCCATACGATCTATTGCCCCTTCCCGATTCCCAGATTCGAACAGAAGGATCGACTAGGCAGAACGTGGATTAATTGCGAGAACGGTTTAGATCACCTCACGCACCTTCAGTAGTAAGAGAAATCCGATGTCGTATGGGCGACAATCATGAAAGGCAAAGTCGGATGCCCATAGTGCACCCTCCCGATCGCCCTGGGCAAGTAGAGTGACTGCCATCGCAATATAGCCAATAGGCGATGGCTGAACCTGGAGGGACTTGAGGTGCATGTGAGCAAACAGGCACATGGAGTTGTGAGCCTAAAGCAGACAGACCTCCTTGGCATCCTCTATCGCAGGTGCCAAATGTTTCAAACGTGCTCTTATAAGAGCGCGGTTTGCTAGCACGTGGTACCTAGGACTTGACGCATTCGTGATCTCCTTCGACAGTAGCACTTCTGTTTTTGCCGGGTCGTCCTGTGTCCACGACTCGAAGATCTCGTTGCTCACTTCTACGAGCGGAAGCTGAGAAGGCAGAGTTGTCGACGGATTACGGCGTTACACAAGGCATGAAAGTAGCGTGACGATTGTTAGCTATGCGAGCCTCATGAGTGGATGTACACTTACACCACGGTCGAAATACTTAGCGGGGAGGACACTTCTAAGACTGTGAATTGTAATATTCCTGCCATTTCCACATGCGAGATACCGTCCGCTTGGTGAGAGAGCAATGCAGTTAATCTGTGAGGTGTGTACGATGATGCTACTGATACGCTTGTGGGACACGCAATCCCATAGCGAAACTGATGGACCTGCAGCACATGCAATGAATCTGCCGTTGGATGCTATATGTGCCGGAGATTGGTTTTCATGGATCGACCACTCTGAAGACGAAAGCTTGGAAAGGTCGAAACAGATGAGTTTGCCTCTGGGCGAGAGAAATAACTGTTGGCCATCAGACGACCAGGCCAACGGAGTTTTCGACCATGAGCCAGTCGAACCGTATTGACCTGAATCGAACAAGATATTGCCATTGTGAGTGCTGTAGACACGGACACCCCGAGTTTCTGAGGAGGTAGCAAATCGACTGCCGTCTGCGGAGAACTTGACACCAGTAACCCAATCATATCGAAGGGGAGGAAGGAGTCGGATACCAGAAGTAATGTTGAAGACCCGGGCGTTGCAGTCATCCACAGATACAAGTTTAGTACAGTCGCTCGAGATATCGACCCCCGGTACCCAGCGGCCGTGATCAAGCTCGCGCACTTTTTCATTAGTGACCATATTCCAGACGATCGCCATGTTTCCACGGTCTCCGGACACCATCCACCGGCCATCCCGGGAAACGACAACAGATCCAACAAGGCCACTCCCTTTCATGGTTGGCCCTTGTTGCTGTGCATGTCCGTCTTCAATCTTCCATCGACGAATATCACCGTTGTCACATCCTCCTACGACCTGACTTTCGTCCGCAAAGGTGACTGCGTGTGAATCACCCTGACATTCAATTTCGATCCATTTCGTATCTTAACCACCATAACGAGCTGTTAATAGGGCCAACTCAGCCTCTCTGACTGCTGGTACGCACCCATCGTCGTCGCTGGCAACTAGCCGCTTGTTCTGGTGTTTATCGGGGAAAAGAACGATGCATCGTAGACTTGCTCGTGGCACCCGATGTGAGCTACACCGTGCTCGTCGGATCAGTGCACGTGGCCACAGCCGCATCGTGTTCTTTCAAGATCAGGATATCAATAGCATGTTGGCGGTGCAGGTCTCAGCGATGATCGGTGAGCTCCACAGGGTTCGGTGTTTTCGTCTGCACGAAGTCACGCATAGGGCAAGGGTTGGCAGAGGCGTGTTGATGGAACTGATGTGTTGGCATATCTACAATCATCCAATCCCAGAAAATTTTCTACCGCATGCGCCAATGCCCTCCGCCCCGCACCCGGTCCCGACAAATCTTTGGGCTTCACTACATGTTCACACTCACCAGTACCCCCAACCCTTCACTTCCCCTCCACAGGATCGAATCTTGTCGACAAAACCAAGGCCTCGCGCGATGATAAAACACATCCGGGTTGCACCCTTGTCTCACGTCCATCACTAGGCTCGTCAACGCACGCACCACCTTTTTGGGTACTTGCGATGCGCTGGCCAGGGAGGGAGTGGATTTCAAGGCATCTGGCATCCTCGTTTTCGTCTACTGCACGAACATGACCATTCTTCTGTGCCCTTAGTGCTTTCTTGGAACTGTCAAACCCAAACTCAGATTGGCTTACATGTTTCCTCAAGTGTGAGTCTGTAACGCACCTTCTTTGATCTTAAACACCTCCCTGTAGCCTCAAGAGATTGCCCCGCCCGCCCGCTAAAGCACACGCCTCGGGGGTTCAAAGTACTTAGTGAGCTCAGGATGAAGTGGTAGAAAAGGGTAAGTGGCAAGACCGGGAACGACTGCAATATGAAAGAGAGCGTTGAAAGTCGAGGATTGAACAACGGTTGTTGATTTCTGTTGTCATGATTGGCATTTTCTCGCCCTGAAACATAGTCCAAACCCTGCACTGGCTAATTTTGATCTAAATGGTGCCATGGGCCAATGATGGAATCACAGAGGTGAGTATAGTCAAAATGCTCGAGCTTAGGCTTTACAATGGCATCTGTTATGGGGATTCCAATTAGTGTCTATGTGATCAGTGAATATGAGCCGTAGTCAATGATTGTAGTGGGGATATGCTTGAAGTCACGGATATCCCATTCCCACGCCATCCGCAGGCTGAGTGTCGTCAGCGTGGTATCAAGTATCGAGATATGCGATATGCACCAGGAAGCTGAATGTCCCTGTGAGGAGTTCGACAGGAAGTTGATTGATCGGGAGGGTCGTGCGTCGACAAGTTCACTGATTTTACGACTTTGAGTCTCAATAGCCATGAGGACGGCCAGAAGTCGTTTGACAAGCATCCACTCGGCGGACTGCGGTCGTGCCAACCCAGTACGGGCCTGAGCGAGTTTGCCCGTGATGCGTCCGTGCTGCAGTCACGCCGAACGTTGAGATGTGTCGGGAATCTACATAACTGAAAGGAGTGAAGCGAACCTACAACTTTGATGGTAAGAGCCTGTGGGGGCAGTTTGAATGGGTGGACCTGAAGCAACGGTACTATCACCCGACGAGCTTGGAGCGGTGCCTAGCAGACTAAATTTTGCGTTCACCTGCAGTTTCGTCTCGATGATTGTGATAATACTCACGACAAGCTAGTAACTCGACAGTGCAACCCGGTACTTGAAGCAGACCTTGTGGAAAGGCTACAAGCGCAGAGGAGTGTGACGTTAGCGAGAGAGCTCATAGCAGGAAGGATTGATTCGATCTACACGCGCTGCACGAAAGGGGGCTGGTGCCGACGCGGCCCTAAGGGGGCGCACGCGCCAGCAAGTGTGGCAGGCTGCCCATTGGCTTGAGGAAGCTATCCCGACCCCGTTGGGACCACGATGCCCCGTAACTTTTCCGACCCCTGTGTATCGAATCCGTTGTAACTTCCTTGCAACGGGGATATACTGTAAATCATCGAGAAGAGTATCAACGAGCTCAGTCCAGCACTCAGGGAACTCAGTAGGACATCCTTGGTATGTTGCTTTAGCTACGGATTTGAATCGTTTATACCTCCTTGTCGTCAGATCACCCCGAACTGAAGTTCGAAGAAAGGCAATGCGTTTTGTGTATTGATCATGAGCGGCCTGACACTCCGAGGGCTGGCAGACACACTCACGATGTCAACACCACGTTCGTGGAGAAACAAGGCTTGGTGGTTCAAAGGCATTACTTGCTAGAAACGGCTTGGGTTGCGAGGTATTCACATCGGCAAGGCGGTCCCCGGTCGGTTAGCACAAGTCACGGCGTCAGGAGACCTCTTCTGAGACGACTTGGGAATGGAGGTTATCCCAGTGAAATGTCATCCGCTAGAGCCATCATAACTTGGCCGGAATTTGGTGTCCTGGAAAACGGAGGTACTCAGGTAGCGGAGTTGGTGACCAGTTGCCAACGTGGCAGCTAGAGAACTTGGATATCATCATAGCTTGGAGGACCGCCTTGATAGATGATAGCAAGGAAGATGATTACTGGGGTGCATGTGATGTGAGGTTCACATATAGGCAGCCGTCGGGGGGTGGAACAACATACATATGTATGTGCCGACGTCGGGAGGGGTATGAGGACGATGACGACCGAGAGTGTGGTAGCTGTAGTTCAATGGGTAGCGTAAAGTAATATTCCTCGGGTCGGGAGCTTTCTATAGAAGATCGCTCAGGAAACCTCTCGGTTTGAAGGTCTTGTGTAGATAGCAAAGGCTACGAAGCCTAGGCCGTCAGGACTACTTCAACACGTAGCGGAATAGTGTAAATGGTAATGGAACGAGAAGTTATGGATCCGAGGGTGTTCACGTGTAGTACTACCAACTGGCATGATTTCTTATCTCGTTGACTAGCCCACGTCGTCCACGGCGCATGACTACGAACAAATCTCCAACTCAGCCCCAGGTCTCTCGAGGCTCCGCCTCCATCTTGTCGCCATGTAACAACTAAACCAACGAGAACCGAATGAAAAACAAAAGAAAAACGACCGAGAAAGGACGAATGACAGATCTAGCCTTGAAATCTGCAGCTGAGCCCAAACCCCACACTTACGTCAAAGGATTTCCAACACTTTCGCTCGAACGTTCTTGGAGGTGATGTTGGTTCCGAGTCCTGAGACAACAATCTCGTTCTCTGCAGCGATCCTCTTGTACGTTCCATTCGACTGCTGTACCAGAAGTAATGCGTTGAAAGGCTGTCCAAGGCGAGCAAACATCTCTAGTGCCCGGGTATAGTTGTCAACCTGAAGCGCAGGGACAGCAAGTATCGACACAACTTCATCCGAGTCAGAGTCGGTATCAGAGTCCGAGTCATCTCCCCAGGTAACCCCACTACTCGGACCTCGGATATGATTGATCCAAGGATTCGCGAAGATGAGTTTCTTTGGCTCGTGCAGTAGGAGATCATCTGCAGTCATGAACTCTACATTTCCAAGTCCTGATACTCTGGCACGATAAAGCTTCGTATTGTCACTACGTGGGTTTTCGAGACTTCTCACAGAGAAGACGATGCATGGAAGATGTAGACGTCGGGTTGCAAGACGGGCAGGAGAAAGACGATTGATTTTATTGTATATAATCCGTGCTTCATACCGGGGCAACTTGTCACGTAATTCTTTGATGCACCTTTGGATTTCATCCCCTTCGAGAGATGGAGGGCTGTAAGGAGTTTGGCTGTAAACAGAAAGGGACGCCGGGAGACAACTGTTGTATGTCGATGACTTTCCTGACCACGCAAGTACACTGACCTCCCCAGAGCGAGCCACGATCTCCTCCAGAAGGTGTCCGAGGGCGTCGGGTCCTTCGCCGTAGTGAGGCCTAAGATCAGACTTGAATATGCCGATGAGAGAATACGCAGCATCTTCGTCGATTGTCGCATTGCGCGTCGAAGCGAGACGAAGTTTTTCGCGCACCCCGAGATCGTCTGGAGAGAACGCAGCGATGGTTCCGGGGGGAATATTGATAGCATCTGCTAGTTCTTGCGTGATCTCTGGGGACTGCTTGTGGTTTTCACTGGTATCGCCAAGGTATAACTTCCACTCGGCATCACAGAAAAAGATGGTTGTCGGCGAGAGAAGCTCTTGTAAAGTCCATGCTCGCGTCATCCACAAACTACGTTTGAGGTCCCCGGGCTTGGTCGGATGCGTTACACCGGCAAGGAATACGAGCGTGGCTGCAGAATTTGCATACCATTTGTACATAGACGTAAGGGATTGATTAAGGATGGAGCTCGTGGACTTGTCGATACAACATGTATCCGACCATGCCCAATTGTAGCCAAGTTTGCACGTCGCCTTGCAGAAATTGTGCAACTTCTTATTCAGGAGCGTGTCGGGAAGGTCCCACACGGATTTGGATTCAACTTGCTTGACGTCCTGGAATGTCGGTTCGTTCCCCTGCCATGCGTGCGAGAACATCACGTATCCGAAAAAACCTGCAACCACTCGTTGAATCCGCTCCTCGTCCACTTCTGTCGTCATAGCTGAAACAAGCTCTTTGAATGATGGATCGGCCTTGAAGATACGTATCTTCTCAGGATTATCACAAAGGCAACCACTGTTGACATCGATGATGGCGAGGGGAGAATTTTTAAGAGTCTCGCGGATGATAGGATCAATAGCTGCAACTGTCTCAGATGGAGAAACGTAGTTCTTGCGCAATTCTGTGAAACTGTCATTTGTGGGTATTAGATTCGCACAGGAAGTACATACCCCGGATTGCAGGGTCATGAGACTGTTCAATTACACGAAGCATAAAGTTGAAAGCGTCGATTGCTTCGTCATACCGTTTTGCTCCATGGAGTGCCACATGCTTCGCCTCATAGCCCCAAGGGCTGGAGGGATCCGCTTTCACCGCCTGTACAGCAGCTGTAAGGAACGACTCGTACAATAAAAGTACATGCCTACGTTGTTCGCATCTTGTAGCGCATCCTCCCACAAACCTTTTGCAGCTCGAGCTCTGCTCCACTTGATAAATGGACCTGCAGCACTCGGAGGACTGATGGGAAACGCAGCAGAGTACCGCGTTATTGCATCTTCGTGTTCACCGGATCCGAAGGCTTGGTCGCCAATATGCTCAAGTGTGGTGGCGCATTTTTTGGTGAAATCTGATGGACGTTAACATGCACATCAATCAGACTGGAGGCTACAAGACGTACTTGCAACCCAGTTTGCGTTTTCCTTGCCTCTCAGGATCTCCTCGTCCGATGTCTTGATAATGTTGAGGAAAATCTCCACGGCTTCGGTTGCACGGTCTTCAGCGTAGAGGACTTCACATAAACGTTGCTGGGCAACAATGTCCAGCCCATTGAAACTCCACTCAAATATCTTCACAGAGAGTTAGATTGATAGGTAGTAACGGTATAAGACCTACGAGCGAGATCGTCACTAGCGGAGGACATTGCTTATTCTCGGGGGCTAGGCTCTTCGCATGCTCGATCAATGGTATTGCGCGTTTGTAATCCCCCTTCTTTATGTACATAACTCCGAGGACCTGCAGAATGCATCAACAATGATACCTACGTGTCTGCATCGTGTGAATCGCGTGCCTGGGTGTAAACGTAGATGGTATCGTCGTCATTGTCATTGTTTGCTCTCGTAGCAAGGTGTTCTACGCGGTCTATCGCTTCTTCCTGACTTCCGGATTCGAACACGAGGATCGACTAGGAGGAACATGGATTAACTGCGAGAACAATCTACATCACCTTACACACCTTCAGTAGTATAAGAAATCTGATGTCGTACGGATCGCAATCATGAGACGCAAAGTCGAATGCCCATAGTGCACCTTCTCGATTCCCCTGGCCAAGTAGAGCAACTGCTAACGCAATATAGCCGATAGGTGATGGCTGAACGCGAAGGGACTTAATCCACGTGAGTAAACGTGCGCATGGAGTAATAAGCCTAAAGTAGACAGACCTCCTTGGCATCTTCGATTGCAGGTACCAAATGTTGCAAACGTGCTCTTATAAGAGCGCGGTTTGCTAGCACACAGTATTGAGGGATCGAAGAGCTGGTGATCTCCTCTGAAAGCAGCCTTTCGGTGTTCGTCGGATCGTTCTGCATCCATGACTTGAGGGTCTCATCACTCGCTTGTACAAGCGGAAGCTGAGAAGTATGCAGTGGTTGACGGATTACATCGTTAGGTAGCGTAATGCTTGTTAGTAATATGCACTTCATGAGTGGATGTACACTTACACCACGGATGAAATACTTAGGGGGAAGGTCGCTTCTGAGATTGTGAATTGTGATGTTCCTGTCATATCCACATGCGAGATACCGCCCGCTTGGCGAGAGGGCGACACATTTGATTCGTGAGGTGTGTGTGATAATGCTACCGATCTGTTTGTGGGACACGCAATCCCATAGCGAAACCGATGTGCCTGCGGCACACGCAACGAATCTGCCGTTGGATGCGATATGTACCGGTGATTGATTTTCATGGATCGACCACTCTGAAGACGAAAACTTAGCAAGGTCGAAATAAATGATTTTGCCCCTGCTCGCGACGAATAGCTGCTGGCCATTAGACGACCAGGCCAACTGAGTGTTTGACCATGAACCGGTCGAACCCTTTTGACCTGAATCGAAGAAGATATTGCCATTGTGGGTGTTGTAGACGCGGAAACCTTGAGTCTCTGAGGCGGTAGCAAATCGACTGCCGTCTGGGGAGAACTTGATACCAACAATCGAAGACTGTGGGAGGGGAGGAAGGAGACGGGTACCGGAAGTAATGCTAGCTATCTGGGAGATGCTGCCACCCACGGAGGCAATTTTAGTACAGTCGCTCGAGATATCGACCCCGTGTACCCAGAAGCCATGTTCTGTGAACTCGCGCACTTTTTCATGAGTAGCCGCATTCCAAACGATTGCTTTCCATCCACGATCTCCAGACACAATCCACTGGCCATCCCGAGAAACGACAACAGAATCGACAGTACCGCTCCCTTGCATAGTTGGGCCCTGTTGCTGACCGTCTTCAATCTTCCATCGACGAATATCATGGTTTTCGTATCCTACTACGACCTGACTTTCGCCCGCAAAGACAACTGCGGACACATCACTCCGAGACACATTTTCGATCCGTCTCGCGACTTGAGTAATCACCCAGAGAACTGTCAGCTATAAGGCAGCCTCTCTGATCACCGGTACATACCCATCGTCATCGCTGGCACACCCACCAGAACAGCTTGTCCCGGAGTTTAAGAATGACGCGCAATCGTATGCAGACGTACTCGCAGCAAGATACAATCTATACATCCATCACTTGTGCAACCAAAGTTGGCAATGCTGGCTATTCTCGGCCTCACGTATAGGACGAAACTACATAATGATCCCACGGCACCGTGTTTTCCTCTACACGGAGTCGCGGTACTAACGGTTGGCGGAGACGTGTCGATGGAAGCCAATCATCCATTGGCACGTATCAGTACGCTCTGCCCCACACTCGGTCCCGACAAAATCTTTGGGTTCCGCCATATCCTCACACTCGCTAATACCGTCAACCCTTTACTGCCTCTCACCAGGGTCCGAATCCTACCCATACAACCAAGGCCTCATGCGATGATAAAACACATCCTGTTCGTATCCCTGTCTGACGTCCATCAGTAGCCTCGTCAATGTGTATACCACTCCAGTGAGATGGGGGAGGCGAGATGCAACACGACCACGATATCGTCGTTTCATACATCAAAGCGTAGTATCAGTTCGAGTGCTTTACTGCCTCGCAGTTCGATGCGGGTGGGTCATGCGAGGCTTCGTCGCGTGTAACTCTTGACTTTTCAGGTTGTCCAAACCCGGGTCCCAGGGTGCAAATATGCTCATTCCGGTCCAGTTACTATTGTCGAGGGTACCTTCTTCCATTCCAAATTATACAGCACTGTATCTGAATGGCCCATGACAATACCCTCCACAACGCGATCCAGATCGATGCCGGGGTCACTATAGAAGAGACTGTCGATATCGAAATGCATGGTACGCTCTGCGGAGAAGAATCTCGGAGGCCTTGAGATCTTGGAGCGTTGGTAACTTTATTGCTCTGCAAGATTCGCACAATGCGATCCACCATCCTTATCTCCCTCACTTCCAAATGCCGAATGTCCAACATCTTCCTGTCCGCATCTGCGCTATCTTGCTTAATTACAACCCCCCGCACACCCCTTTTTCCAATCCGGCTTCCCACTGCTCCCATCCACCCGAACAATGGGTCGAGGAGCATCATGCTCCCTTAGTATGTCGACATCAAAATCGTACGCCACAGGGGGTTGTCATGAGCGATACCTTGCGAGTCGAGGCAATCGGTGACAGGACCGTGGAGGTCAAGGAGGTGTTCCCATTCCCCTTCGTCGAGGATGACTTACCTTCAAGCTCCACTTTTTAGGATTTCACCCGACGTCTACGTCGGTTACTTCCCGTTGTCATCTTCTCGTATGCACAAGCTAACTTTTACTGTTCAAATTATTAGGGCCCGCTTGCCATGCACTATCTACTTGCCTTCGCCGGTGCTCTGTCCACTTCTGCAATAAAGAGTATGTGCCCATCTGGTATTGTGCCGTAAACGTGGGCGTGCTCGAAGAGGGGATGAAACGAGGTTGGTGAAGAGACGGAAAGGAAAGCCGGTGAGTCAGGAGAGTGATAAAGACGAGAGAACGAACTAAGATGAGAGTGGCGGAGAAGGTACGGAGACTGACAAAGCATACCAGAAAGGAGATACCGCCTACTGACGACTACCACATTGCTCGTCTCAATATCCGAATGACAGCGTAATCCAACTCATGGAAGTCCCTGCCACACTCAAATTGTCGATTTCTCGATTGCCGGAAACAAGCCGAAGAAACGTCGTTTACGGTTTACACGGGAAGTTACTCTCATCAGCGTATAACCCTTCACCGATACGGAATCTGATATTGCCAAGGGCCATCAGGCAAATGGATCAGCGGTTGCGGGCTCGCTGGAAGCATTGCGTAGAATACTAACTGGTCATGGCTCTAGCAAACTGACCGCTACGAAGAGTCTTTTCAGCCGGTCTCATCGAAGCCCGCCAAGTACCCCTTCCAACCTCTTTGTAACTGGATGTGCCCGGCTCCACCAGGTCAACAACTGACTTCCGCATAAGTTTCTCTAACCTTGCTGGTTCTGTGTCGGTCTCGCCTCAGTGTCGCGCTATTCTGCTCCTCTACCTTGCACGTATGTATCTCCTTCACGACGCCCGGTTATTCGGTCAACTGTGATCGTCGAGCCGTGAGTGGATATCGAAAGATTAGGATTCCTGAGTTGACTTTATATTAAACTTATCATCCTCTGGGCCGTGTCATCGAGTTAGTTGCACTATCGAGAAGACCATCGACGACCTCAATCTGGCGCTCAGGGAACTCGATCAGGATATCCTAGATTTGTCACTTTTCTTTGTCACGATCCGCTACTTTGTGTTTTTGTTTTTGCAGTGCACCCCGAACCGAGGTTCGAAGAAAGGTATGCAATGCATTTTGTGGATATCATCATAACGAGTGATTTGACACACCGAGGTCAGATACGCTCAAGATATGTGCACCGCGTTCATGGAGAAACACGGTTTCGTGGTTGAAAGACATCACTTGCGAGAAGCAGCTTGTCCCGACGTATTCACATAGCCAGGTCGGTTCTGTTTTCGGCTTTAACTCTGAAATAGATGCTTTTCCTGGGATCGGACGTGCATGTGAACGTGGTGTCTGAAATACTCTACCGAGTGAATATCTCGACGGATACAACCAAAGCCAGAAAGACGATGCAAGTTGTAACAAATGAGAAGTGCGTGGATAACGCATAGCGAGCGGGGATGCCACTAGACTACGCATTGAATGTAATGGCACGAACGGTGAAGGACAAGGAAAAGGATCCAAGACGATGGCGGAGTCATAAACCGTTCCCAGGCAGAATGCATGAACTTCCAGCGATGAGCATAAAGGAGAGGACGCCTGGACAAGTAGTGGTGAGAAGGAGAGGGAAAGAGAAAGGGAAGAATCAGCCGTGCATCTTCGTCTTATGCCTTTGCTCGCTCTCCGTACTACGGCTAACTACGGAACGGTAGACCAGATCCGTCACATAAGCGCTTTTGTTTAGTTGCCAAACAATGTCGGTGGACGCGAGTTGCCAAAATTGGCTACTGCGGGCGCATGCTATGCGTGCCCCCCGCTTCAACCCTCAGGTGACCTGTAGCCCCCTGGTAGGCCCAGCATATCAGCCAGTTCACTGCGTAGTGGTGAGTCCTCGACGTTCTGAGTCGGGAGGGGGGAGGGGGCCGGTGATGAATATTCAGGCTCACTCTTTGTAGCACCACAAGCTCGTGATCCCGAACACCACTCACCATGTGATGCTTCTCAGCAAGCAGGCACGAAACGGCGATGTGAGACCAGCGTGATATGGCGGCACGCAGGGTGAGCAAAAACGTCCAATGCCGATTACACTAGTTCAGTGCTAAATCGTCAGGTCATTTCCTGTTTCACGATAGGAGCCTGCAGACTACTCGTAGTACATACATGCGTGTGCATCAAGTGGTGGGCGCTGCCACGTGTCTGCTGTGTCAGTTTGCGCTCACAAGCATACCCACAGCATTCTTTCAGCTTCGCTTTTCCCTTCTAACCTCGACACTCACAACGTCATTCAAACGCACAAACCTCATACGGATTACATACCCAATTGTGAATGGACAGTCATCAGTTGAAGAGACGTCGCTCTGGCGCTGCCAACCCATACAGCTCTTTTCCTCCATCGGTATGTCGTCTAATCTTGTCTAGCGATGTTATGTGTCAAAATACCAATTTCTTCGCAATGACCGGCAAGCAGTCAAAGAAAGCTCGTACCAGCCTTGCAAACCCATTCAACTTCGACCCTTCTTCGGTATGCAGATCACCCCTTTCTGACGATGGTACATGACAATTGGCCGAAAATCAGTCACAAGGACCTTCTCAGCCTCATTTACCCTCTGATACTCAAGCGTTGGGTAGTGCCTCTCAGGGATCAATGTGGGCCTTCGCCCATCCATCAGAGCCGAGTTCTCCAAGTTTCGTCACGGGAGGGAGCACTGACACACATGTTGATCGGGCGACTTGCGAACAAAGAGGGCATTTTCAGGCTGCTCCGACCTACGAAGTATGTAATCTGTGCCGTCTCAGTCTTTCGACAACTCCGAGGAAGCTCGCTGCACAGACGCAGCGGTCGGTCGGTCGGTCAACTTTCGGCAGTGCTGATTTCATATCGCCGACACCATTTGGTACGGATACCGTGACGCGTGTGGGTACAGGGGATGTTGACCTTGAGACTGGTGCAAATATCGCACTCGCCGAGACCCAAAACTTCCCCGATACGTATCTAAAGCCGTTCAAAGATTTCAATCAAGCAGTTACAACCCTTGCTAAGGTAGGCATTTATTGTTCTGTATCCATTCGATGACCCCATCCATGTTCCAGATCCATCCATTCGCCCGCATGGCGCTGGGAATATTAATAGCCATTTCTCAGGTAAGTTCTCATTCTTGAATGCATTCCTTACCTTATGTGGTCGTACATAGATGTTCGTCGCTCAACAGACCCGAGATGGGCGGGTTTCCCGCCTCCTGGATACCATCAGAAAGGTTTACGAATTCCTCACGGAAGAAACTACCCTCAAGGCGATGTCGGGCATGCGGGAAACCTTAGCGAAGATCGCACTCATGACGAGTGGTGCGGTGCAGTTCGTGACCGAGGACTTCTGTACGTCAATCACACTTACTTACACCTCAGTTAATGTAACGTGGTATCAGGGAAGAGATCAGGGAAGGACGTAGAATATGAGGCGCGCGACGTTTCTATTGCATACATCGAAATGTTAGACGACTTGATGCAGCAATACCGACGCCTCGAAGACCGGGGCATCCAGGTTGATGCATTCTGCATACCTGGTAACCCTGTTCTTAGCCCTATTGGATTCTGAGTGTAGGATAGTTCTCAGACATGACTGGCTCACCTGCTACAATCCATTGATTGATTGGGTATTGGGCAGTCTAACATTCTGGACTCCTGCACAAGGAATGCCAACCCTGTCAACACCCCCTGTAAGCCCAGTCTCCACTGGCCTCCCCAACTCCAGTCCTAGTGACCAACCTGGCCTTGTGCCATCTGTACTGGCCTCCAACTCCCTGGCTCACACCCCCCTGAAGGCCCCTCTTGTTTCCCTAATCAATGCAGCCACCTTTGTGCATGCCTGCAAACTTGAAGGGGCTGTCCAGTTCCAACTTCAGCTCCACCCCTTGGACTCAGCTCAAGCCTGATTGGCCTTGGCTTCCTCTCCTCTGGCCTTACCCAATGTACTGGAAGAGTACCATGATTTTGCTGATGTCTTCAGTAAAGCCAAGGCCTCAGCACTCCCACCTCACCAGGAGTATGACCTGAAGATAGAGCTTGA